TTTGGGAAATTTTCATACTCATATTCCAAGAACTGGATTTTATACGAATTTTTAAAACTTAATCGGCGAAAATTGCAAAATTCGAAAAAATTGTCGATCATTTCAAAAATTTATTTCTCAAAAACTGAAAGTGATTTTTCAAAACGGCTTTTTGCATTAAAAAGAGGATACTTTAATTAATAATCGAAAGTGATAACAGCGACAGTTCTGTTAGTAATGAATGTGATAATGAATTACAAGCGAAGAGAAGAAAATTAGACAAAACTGCAACAAGAGATTTTATATATCGTATTGGGATTATTACAATGAGGTTGCTAATGACAAACCTGATATAAATAAAGTTGTATTCAATGAAAAAAGTTCTATTGGGGTTGAACTTGATTATTATCTGCAGTGTTCAACACCTAAAAGAGGTACTAATTCCTGTGAATGGTGGAGTACTAAGTAATAAGCCAAAGCCGGATATTTGGTAACTATTCGATATACGGCCCGATTTTAACAAATGGCCGGATAGGCCGGATATCCGTTCCACCAGTAGTTTAGATTATATCAGTAACATTTCAATGTTTTAAAAGTCTGGAGATTTCCTCCAAGCTTTATTTTTAGAGATAAAAATATGGGTTTTTTTATGTAATTAAAGGTAATTCGTTCATCGTAAGGTAATAACGTGACTTTAGAATGTCTATACATTTTTTTCTTTTATTCTTGTTGTAATTCTTTTTTGTTGGCCTAAATGAATTTTGTTTAAAAACTGCCCCGCAGAAGAGATAAATGCTAAATACAATGAGTTACTGTGATAACGTGTTCTTAATTACTTTGGTGATGGAACTAAAGCAGTTATTCCAGTATGTACTAATGGAGTTGTAACATCAAGGTACTGATAAGTTGAAGAATACATAAATAGCGAAGCTTTAAAAAACAAAAATTAATTTTTTTAAACCCAACGATTATTTTTTGAAGCTATACCAAATCCTATATCAGTTTTATCTCTGGCTAAATTTCCCAATACACCATCTCCAGTAAAATTTTCAAAAGCATCACCCCAATCACCATCAAAATCAGTCACTGTAATCGTCATGTTGTACTTACAAGCTGCTTCTAAAACGGCGCTTAATTCTGTTCCATCTAAATAATCTTAAATAATGATTAAACAAAGTATTAAATTGATTAAATCAAATTATTTTGTTACCAATTACTGAATATGGCTTGTAAGTTATGGTTCCAATACTTAAAATTCTTCCGCCTTGATTACTTAATTTATCAGGATATAAATTATTTCCAAATAAAAAACTCGAATTTTTCGAAAACCATTTATCCAGTAAATAAACTTGGTTATAATCGTGGTACGCAGCGTATTTATGTGTGTATAAGTTAAATATTCCTTCATCTGAATTACTTAATTTATCAGGAAAAACCGCCAAAATATTCGCAACAAAATCAACACTTTTCCTTTCAAAAATTGAGGTGGTATTTCTATCAAGATTTCTCGTCGGTAAAACTAAATAACTTCTAAAATGAAACCGATTCTCTCCGTAACGAATCAAATTTTCAATTTCCTCAAACGTTTCGTTAGCTTTCTCGGTATTAATTAGAAAATGATCGCAATAAAATTTGGTGTAAACATTTGGATTATTTCGCATTAATTCGACATCAACAATTATTGCAGGAATATTTTCGAAATGTTTATACGTTGATTTGCTGTCTGTAAAAACGTACAAACACTTTGTTGTTGAAAAGTAATTTGTTACAATTATATTTGCCAAAAGATTTACGTAAATTTCCATTTTACAATGTTATTTAAAGTTGTTCTGAAACAATTTCAATTTATATCTTTGCAAAAATAGGTCGTAGATTAAATATTAAATTAAGTTAAACAAAATTTGCAAATATAAAGGAAAACGTTCGTTTCAAAATCTTTTGATGAATTTTCAAGAAGAATTTTAAATTATGTTTAGTTAAATGAATTAATAAAATGATTTGTTAATGTTGTATAATTAATATTTTAAATAAGATAATAGATCATTATATGCGAGTAGAATACTATACTTTGTCCCCGACTATTAGAATTGATTCCATAAATTTATTTTTTAAATAAATTTTTGAATAAAGTTTAAACGTCAATGTGACACAAATTTAATGTTACTAACTGTAACCAACTTCACAACAATTTGTCAAAATTAAATGTCAATTTTATGAAATGTCGTTTTCTTTACGAAAATTAATTAATTTATGCTTAAATCATACGAAAAAAGGAATTTGTTTAGGTTTTTTTAATATCAAACATGGTAGTCATGAACAAATACTAATTAATAATCAAATTTAAATTTAGGGATTTTTATTGTTGTCATAATTAACTAACTTCATTTTAGTTGATAAAACTGTCAAGTCATTAATTATTATCTGTCATTTGATGCAATATTTTGTAAAACCACGTAATGTTTATAAGATAAATTAAAATAATTTATTATTTCGATAAAATTAAAACCTAAAATAATAAATGGTGTAGTTTAGTAATAAAATGGTGTACGTACAAGGTAATTATTCAATACTTAAGAAAATCCATCAAACATAACCTCAAATTTGTTTCCTTTATCGTATTTTTAAATTATTAGGTGGTAGAGTCGCTGAAGGAAGACCATGGAGTTTAAGGAGAATCCCCGAATTTTTTTGGGGTATAATCGCATTTGTGATTTTCTTGTAAGTTATTTAAATACGTTTGATATTCGAGATTTATAATTCAACTTTTAAATTAGCTTTAAAACTTTATTTGGTTTTGATACTTCTGCGTCATCATCAAATGGTTCGCGTGGTGGTTCAAGAGGGGGAGGAGGCCCCGATTATCCCGGTGGAGGGAGAGGGTAATTAAATTAAAAATGTTTATTTACAAATATGATTAAATTTTTTTTTAGTCCTAGAGGACCTCGTACGATAGGGCGCATAACCACAATCCAAGATTGTTCCATGCCTGGAGGTGGATGAGCACGCTAAACCTCTTAGGTTTAACAACCTAAGAGAATTTTTTTGTTTGATATAAATTTTAATTAATTTGATTTAATTGAAATTTATGTTGAACAAACATGGTCCTAATCTATGATTATTTACCTCAAATGAATGACGTTTTTCTCATAAACCTGGCAAACAGGAGGGGATTAACTGAGGTTGAGTGTTTATTTAATCATGATTAGGATTTTTACTTAATTTTATGTAAGGTTGAAGGTTTTGTTTTGTATAATTTAAAATTTGAATTCTAATTACATTTATTGCTTGCATATACTTGATACATTAAATACAAATAAATACTACTTCAAGGTAGGCACATTTTTTCTTAAAATTCCTTTTATGATTTTAAGATCAGAGGTAAAACGACGAGTGGTTCACTCGTTTTTGGGTTATCAGCATATAAAGTCCATGTATTTGCAATACAATCAAAAATACCTACAATAACGAAATTAAATACAAAAAAAAATGTAAATTAAATTTGTAAATGTATTTACCTGTTGCAACTGTTCGTACTTCGCAGTTTTGATACACCTCATTATCTTTGTTAGTTTCACCTAAAAATTCTAATACATCTTGAAGTGATTTTGGTTCTTTTCGGTTTTTATAAACGGCCATTCGGCAAATACTGGTATCTATTATCCTTCCTGTATCTATTTCCTGAACAGGTAATCGTAAATACCTACAATAAAAAGTATGAAACTACTTTTTAGAAAGTATTGGGGAAGTTTTGTATTGGTTTACAACAGGGATGAGCAACACGCGGTAGTACATACTAAACCTAAACAATTTTTTGTGACGTGTCACACAATTAGTCAGACTGGTATGCTTTTAACTAGCAATTTTAGCAATTCTTGTGTTTCTTGAAAGGCGTGAGTGCAATATTATAGTCAAAAAGGTAGTATTAGAGTTTTTTATTCAAAATTAAGTTTTCCTACAAATTTTTGTTAGTTCCAAATTTTTAATCCATAATAGCATGTCGGAAAAGCAAACAAAAAAACGAAAGGTTGCGGATGAGCACAGGCATTTTCAAGAAAGTTTTTAGTTTCGTCTAAGATGCTGTATGCTTAATATGCTCAGAGACTGTGTCGACATTAAAGAAATATAACATAAAAAGGCATTACGACACAAAACATGAACAACAATATAAAAACTTAACAGGACAACTTCGGATAGATAAGTTTAATCAAATGGAGAAAAACTTATTGCTATTTTATCAAATACGGCAGTGAAGGCTAGTTTTGTTGTCAGTCAAATACTGGCAAAAAAAATGAAACCCTTTGCGGATGGAGAGATGATTAAAGAATGTTTGACTGACAAAATAAATATTATTTCAAACATTAGTTTATCAAGATTCACTATTGCAAGGAGAATTGAAGACTTGTCCGAGAACATAGCAACAACGCTTCGTGAACGCATTGCAAAATTCGAATACTGTTCTTTGGCACTTGATGAGAGTTGCGATATTAGCGATACAGCTCAACTGGCTATATTTTGACGTGGTATTGACACCAAATTTAATATTACCGAAGAATTGTGCTCACTGATTCCAATGAAAGAAACTACAACCGACCAAGACCTGTACGATGAACTAGACTCTGTTGGAAAATTTTTCAATTTTATTAGAAAAGATTATTGGTATATCGACAGATGGAGCACGAGCAATGTCAAGCATGGAGGTAGAAGTATCGGGAAGGCTATTTCAAGACATTAAGAAGGTCACAGGAAGGGAAATATTCGTTAACCACCGCATAATTCACCAGGAAAATTTATGTGTTTTGAAAATTTTAAGAATTCCTGAAAGAAACTAAAATTAGAACTAAAACTAGAAACTTTCGGGTTTTGCCGTGCGTCTTTTAATAAAAGGTTTGACGTTTCGGATGCCATGTTGCAACCTTCTTCAGAAACTGGTTCGAAGTGACGAGATCAAAAATCGGTAACTATATATAAGTCGGAAAAACTAATTAATAATCAGTTAACGCTAATTACAACGCTGCAATTGCGTTGCAGCGTTGAAACGTTGCAACGCAAGCTGTTGAGCAGTTTGGCCTTTCTACGAAGATGCAGAGAGAAGAAAGTAACGCCAACCTTCTTGAAGGTGAAGCACCACATCGACTCCGCTGCAGCACGTAGAATTTTGATTAGGACAGAACAAGCACTGCTACGAGAAAGAATCCACAAGACCTTCAATGATCTACAAAAAATAAGTGAGAAGTTACTACGACTCCACCTCTCACTTTCCAATTGTATATCCGGAGAAGACTGGGACAAAGTGGACAGACTAACAATGGAGAAGACTAATCGCGAATGTCAGAAGACCCGTGACACACACATCAAGAAGTTTGAATCTCTGGAACGCCGGTCGCAAAAGAAGAAAAGTAAGTTTACCAGTAGAAACAATCGTCATTAACAGATCGAATGTCCCACTAACGAAAGACGAAACCTCTGTGCTCCGACAAGAAGTTGCGAGAGTATTGAAGTTAGCAAAACCACCAAAATCCAACTTGATGGTTGGTGAAAAGAAGGCACTCCGATCTATAAAAGAAAAATCAGAAATCGTCGTGTTACCAACAGACAAGGGGAATGCCACCGTTGTTATGGACAGGAAAGAATACGACGACAAAATGATGAACCTACTGGACCCAGCCACCTACAGGAAGATAAAGAAGGACCCCACAGACAAAATCGTAAGGAAAATGAAGAAACTGATAAAATCCACAGGAATTCCAGCAGAACAGCAGAAAGGTTTGTTTGTGCAGGCGCCGAAGATTCACAAACCAGACGTACCCCTCCGCCCTATCGTCAGCGCCATCAACTCCCCAACATACCAGCTGGCCAAACATCTTGCAAAGATTCTGTCTCCCTTTACAGGTAACACGGAATCGTATGTTAGGGATTCTACACATTTTGTGGAATCGGTAAAAGGTGTAAAGCTGGAGGCTGGGGATATGTTGGTAAGTTTCGATGTGGAATCCCTTTTTACTAGGGTACCAGTTAAGGATGCTGTAGAGGGTCTTCGCCGAAAACTCATTCCGGAGGGTTTACCAGAATACGTGCCAAATCTGGTGGAGTATTGCTTATCGTCGACGTATTTTAGCTGGAAAGGAGAATTTTACGAGCAGTTCGAAGGGGCAGCCATGGGATCTCCACTATCGCCAGTTATAGCTAATTTCTACATGGAATTATTCAAAGAGGACGCTTTGAAGAAGAGCCAGTGGAAACCAAAACTATGGCTACGATATGTGGATGACACGTTTGTGATATGGCAACATGGTCAAAAACGGCTCCAAGAGTTCTTGGATCACTTGAACTCTCAACATCCTATGATTAAGTTCACCATGGAAACAGAAACTGCCAAAAAACTACCTTTCCTAGATGTATTGGTCACCAGGACGACAAATGGAGATATAGAACTTGGTGTATACCGAAAGAAGACCCATACCAACAGGTATTTACAGGCATGTTCACATCATCATCCCCAACAGAAGAGGTCCGTGATCCGTACATTATTTCAGCGAGCAGCGAGACTATGTGAAGGAGAGAACTTGAAGAAGGAGCAACACTTTCTACGAGGCGTGCTGCAGAAGAATGGATACACTTCGAGGGACATCAACCAGGCCATCAAGAGCGAAAGCAGAAAGAGGACACGGTAAGTACAAAACCACTTGGATTTATCTGTCTTCACTACGTTTCAGGTGTAACGGAACGAATTGCTAGGCACCTCAAGAAGAACGACATCGTAGTGCGGTACGGCACGGTCAGCAAAATTCGGAACACACTCCCGATAGCCAAGGACAAACTAACTCCATTAAAAGGAGCGGGAGTCTATCGACTTTCGTGTAGTTGTGGGAAGGTTTATGTTGGCCAAACTGGACGCGACGTCGAGTGCCGCATCAAGGAGCATGAGAGGGATGTAAGGCTGAAGAAGATCCAGCAGTCGGCGGTTGCGGAACATTGCCATGCAGAGGGCCACCGAATAGACTTCGAACAAACAAAGGTGCTGGCTAGGGACAACAGATACTACCAAAGACTGACAAGAGAAGCCATAGAGATCCACCGACATAAAAATAACATTAATGGAGAGGATGGCTGGAAGCTTATCAGAACATGGAAGATGGTGGTGAACACGAAGACCTCTTCCCGCCTCACACCGGACGCGACGCAATTAGTTATTAATTAGCTTGTAATTAACGTTAACTGATTATTAATTAGTTTTTCCGACTTATATATAGTTACCGATTTTTGATCTCGTCACTTCGAACCAGTTTCTGAAGAAGGTTGCAACATGGCATCCGAAACGTCAAACCTTTTATTAAAAGACGCACGGCAAAACCCGAAAGTTTCTAGTGTTAGTTCTAATTTTACTTTAATTCACACCGGCCGTGAAAGCCTTCGTACTTATAATTCCTGAAAGATTTAGAAACTGAATATGGCTGAATACGTTGGCTTAGTAGCGGCGCAATGTTAAAAAGAATATACAACTTAAAAAGCGAAATACAATTGTTCTTGGATATGAACAGTGCGATTTTGGGTTTCTTATCGACGTGACTCAGCATCTCAATGATCTTAATGTGGAACTTCAAGGCAAAGGACAGTTTATTCACAATTTATATGATAAAATTCAGGGCTTTGAGCGCAAATTAAAATTGTGGAAACAGCATCTTTTGCAGAATAATGTGTCTCACTTTCCACATTTAGAAAAAGAAAACGTTACTAGTTCTCAAAAATATGCACAATACCAAATTTGTTTTTTTAGCTTAAGGTATTACGAAGATATTCAATGTTTTAAAAATTTAAGACCCAACTTTGAAGGTCTATAATTCAGAGCTACAACTTAGTATAGAGATAAGTTGCGTTATATCATCTTAATTTATTGTCTCTCTCTGTGTCGGTTCTTATGTGAATCACCCTGTATTTTGGATAGAAACTATACTGAAATGTATTGTTAATTTGTCATTAGGTGAAAATTAGAAATATAATCAAATTCTAATGAAATCCCTGCATTCTGTAATTGATGGGCTAAGACAAAATGAACTCTGAGTAGAATCTTCGCTACATCATCAAGATCAAAGAGCCATTATTAGTAAATGAGATAGGGATAGAAATAGCGTCAAGTTCTCTTAAGATGGAACCATTGTAGTTTTCTTTAAGAGAGGAAGAACTTATTTGAAAACTGCATCGGATCGGATTGAAACCAGAGGAGGAGAAGGATGGATAATAAAATTAGTAATAATGATATATGACATAGCTTTGTATTAAAGAAAAATCATTTCGCTGTTGTAATAAGTACGACCTACAAAAACACTTAATAAGTTGGAAAAATGAGGAAACGAACCGTATCAGATAACTGGAGGAAAAGTTAAGATGGTTGTGGTCTCCTATATAAAAAATTGATTAGGTTCTTTGCAGTGGAGCTGGCATATAGACTACAAATATTGCTAGATAACAGTGCTTTTTGGATGAAAGCCATATATCTATCTTACCTAATACTTAAACCCCTAAGATACAGTGATCCCCGAACTGCTTTGAAAGTTCTTTCCAAGGTGACGAAATAAGTCAATAATTATTAATTTCCTCAAATTCTGAAGTTGTATTGATTTGAAATTGTTTTGTTGATCAACAACTCGTTATCGATAGATGGATGAAAGAAAAATATTAAACTTGTACGCAGAATATCTGATGTAAAAATTTGATCTGCAATAAATACGTAGCGCATCAATGTCACCGTTGCAGCCTCAAGTAATCCAAAGGTGAAGAAAGTCGAGTAAAAATTTTTAAATCATCAGCATACATCAAGCAAATGAGTGTTTAATTATTGAAAAAATATCATTGATATAAATGTTAAATAGAAGAGGTCCTAAGTGTACTTGCGGTACACCGGAGGTAACAATCATGCTGAAGTGACTATTGATATTCACCTTCATATATCATTATTACTAATTTTATTATCCTTCCACGTGTATAGAAGGCAACGCACAAGATGTTCGTCAATATCAAACATACGAAGTTTTGAAAGAAGCAGAACATGATCGACTCGACCGAAAGCCTTACTAAAATCGGTATAAATGGAGTCAACTTGAAAGGAATCATCCATAGAGTTTAAAATATAGTTGGGTGTATTGCAACAAGTTGCTCTCGATCGAGCAAAAAAAGCGTGCTGATTACATGACCCTATTCCAAACACGTAGAACAGCTCCAGATTGAATCGGCCGGTTATATATAACAGTTAAAGGAAAAGAAAGTGACTCACAACAACTTCTAATTATGATGGCAAGAATACAGTCCGCTCTTGGTCCTTTTGATGCATCAATTCCTCTCAAAGGCATCCAAACGCTCAAAGAAATGTCATGAGCACAAAGAAATTTGCATAACTAAAAGAAAATTATCACGAATAAAATGAACTGATGCGTGGTTTCACAAAGAGTTCAAAGTATCAGCGGGAATAAGTCTTATTTTACAGAAGCAAAATATCTTTGACACAAGCAAATTATCATATACAGGTGTCCCGTATCTTCATCCGCATCAGAGCATTATACGGTTGTAAACTTTAAACAGTTCCCGTGCGGTTATTATAAACATTTTATTAGAAAGATCGCTTCAGAATAATGTATCCTACAACCGTATAATGCTCTGATGCGGATGATACGGGACATTCTGTATAGTCAACCTATTATAGGGCGCTTCACGGATAATTTCTAGAAAAAACTGGTATTGCAGTTTCTATCTTCTGTGCCCGAATTAACGGTTTAATGTTCTTTAAAATCTTTTGTCTTCCTTAACTTCGCGAAGTTATCACCTTTATGACTCCAATTTGTTCTCATAATTCGCATTCTTGAGATTTTTTAAGGTTTTTGGTCATCTTAATAGAAAAGTGGATTCATGAAAATATTCCGAGGTTTACACCAAATATGATAAATAACATTATTACTCCACGTACAACCTGAAAAGGCACAGCTGATGGTAGTCAGTAATGATTAAAATTTTTATTTTTCACTCTCCACTTATATCATAATTTCGGTCCCTACTTCTAATGCCTTTCGACCCATCAGCCTAACGTCATTTCTGTTGAAAACCCTTGAAAAAGTTCTGGAACGGTATATTCGTACGGTGCCATTGGTATGCTTATCAAGCGGGAAAATCGGCAGAATTGGCTCTACACAACGTAGTTGGTAGAGTATCCAGGACGCTGCAGGATAAAGAAATCTTGGTTTGTGCGTTTCTGGATATAGAGGGAGCGTTCAACAATGCAATATCACAATTTTTTGAAAGAGCTGCTCTTGACAGGGGAGTGGAAGCAACTATAGCGGGTTGGATCCGCAATATGCTAGATAGTAGAATAGTTTCTACTTCACTCCACGGTGATACGATACGCTTCAGACCGGGAGGTGGCTGCCCGCAGGGAGGGGTGTTATCTCCCCTGCTTTGGTCCCTCCTAGTTGACGATCTGATTGCGATAGTCGAAGCCGTTGGTGTGGAAATACAAGCTTATGCTGATGACATTGTCGTTATGGTCAAAGGAACCTGTTTGCCGAGGATATCTAAAGTCCTCCAGGTGACCCTAGATACCATTTGCGCTTGGTGTAAGGGAGAGAACCTCTCAATAAACCCGCAAAAGACAATTGTTGTGCCCTTCACCAGGAAGCGAAAGTTGGATGGACTAATCCGCCCAACTATCCAAGGTGAAGAAATTCCTTTCTCAAAGGAAGTCAAATATCTAGGAGTAATCCTAGACAAAACCCTGTCATGGAATGGACATTTGCAGGGAGTTTTGCACAAAGCTAGACTATCCTTGTGGACTTGTCGCAGTCTTTGTGGAAAAAATTGGGGTCTTACCCCTGAAAGACTGTACTGGCTCTATGTGACTGTGGTTAGACCTATGATCACATACGGAGCAGCAGCCTGGTATAGGAAAGTCCGACAGACTTCAGTTATCAGTAAACTTTCACGAATTCAACGAGTAGCTGGATTGGCAATCTCTGGTGCGATAGGCACAACGCCAACTCTAGCAATGGAGGTTCTGCTTGGCCTATCTCCTCTGCATTTGCATATAGAGAAAGTGGCTAGAACAACCATTTACAGATTTAAGCAATATGCTCAAAACTGTTCCGACATGTCCTACCAATGGGCTGCGGAAGACATTATAAGCACTGATACTGTGCTATCAATGCCGTCAGATTTGGCGGTATCACTATCAGTGATTAATGCTCGATACCAGATTGTACTGCCTGAGCGGCAGTCCTGGATCGAAAATGAAAATTCTCTGGTTCGGGCAGACATTTGCTTGTACACAGATGGATCAAAAACGCCTGAAGGGGTAGGAGCAGGAGTATACTGCCAGACACCTCGAATTAAGCAAGCCTACAGCCTGGGTACGTACTGTACTGTATTCCAGGCGGAAGTATTTGCTATTGACATGGGTGCTAAAATCCTTCTTGAAAGAGGGGTGAAGAACATGACAGTACGAATTTTCTCAGACAGTCAAGCCGCTCTCCAGGCGCTGCAAGCCGTGAAAACGGTGTCGGCTCTGGTTAATGATTGTAAGAGAACATTAAACACACTGAGTTGTGATAACAGAGTCTCTCTGATCTGGGTCCCGGGTCACTCTGGGGTTGCTGGCAATGAAGCGGCAGATAAGCTAGCACGAGATGGCAGCGCTGAAGCGTTTGTGGGACCGGAACCAGCAGTTGGTGTATCATTTGCGATGGCCAAATATAGGATTGGACTGTGGGCTGAAGAGAGACTTCGCCTACTGTGGACCAGTTCTCCTGGAATGAGACATGCTAAGGTGTTTATTAACATCGCCACTGCCAAACCCGGGAATATTTTAGGACTTGCCCGTAGTAGCATAAAAGTTCTAATGGGTGTTTTTATTGGGCACTGCCGATTAAAAGCACACCTCAACTTGTTGGGTTTAGCCGACGATGTTGAATGCCGACTATGTGCGGAGGAAGCAGAGACGGTTGACCATGTTTTATGCCGCTGCCCTGCTGTTAACCGTATCAGATTCTCGATTTTTGGGTCGCAGTTTATCTCCTCAAGGTATCTGAATGACCTTTCGCCGAGCAAGGTATTAATGTTAAGAGCATTGGACTGCACGGTGAAATTTGATAACGATATCTATCATAATTGTCGACATAAATATACTTACATATTAAAATGAGCTAAAGTTTCCCCACAATTTCCGGTAATTACATTTAATTGAGATTCTTGCGAGTCATATGCAGGTCCCATTTCGATGTTATAAAAAATTCTCGGCAATTCAGGTTTCAGGAACGTCATATTTATCGAACAACCATTCCCAGCCCCACATCCCAAATCCTGAATGATTTGTTCAGCTTGTTCGAAATTTTCTGCTGCTAATAAAGCTCTTGTTATAAAATATCTCGCTAAAATAAAAAGCCATATATAATTATTTTCTTAATCGTAATTTAATTTATACAGTTTTTGTTGCTTAAAGGTTTTGTTTTTTAGAAGCATGGACACATTTGGGTTAATGGTATTTGACCAAATTGAGAATAAAAGTTGTGTAACAATTCGTTACATTCTCAAGATAATTGTGTTACATCCATCAATAGCTAAAGGTCGTATTTTAGTTCTGATCAATGTTTTATCACTCAAAATGGAAAAAGAAAAAAAAAAGCGAAACGTTTCTATACTTCATCTCAACTCTTTGGGGCAAAACTACTTCAAGTTTATTATTATTCTCGGCCAAGTACACTATTATTATCATTTCGTTTCTATTCTCTATAATATGATTAACATAATTTATTTATTGAAAAAATTAATAACAAAATGGAACAACATAATCAGATAAGAAAGACAATAATTAAGGCGATAAATAATTATAATGCGATTCATGTATTTACTTACGCGTTTTCCCCACAAGACATTTATCAGCTGCTAATGTATTAATGGTAAAAATAAGACCATGATGATTATAACCCATCGTGTAACCTGGAAGATGTCCAGCATAGGAAAGAGAAGTGAATTTCTCTTCTTTAACTCCCCAACGTCCTCGAGGTTCCTCGGCGACTATATGGACCGAGACCAAATAGAACAGGTCAAGCATCTCGCTTAAAACGTCTTCATTATGAGCGAGGATTTGCTACGATAATGGTAATAGAATTTATGTCAAATCGTTATCATGGTAAATGATGATGACATCTTTTTTGTCTCGACCATTCATTGGCCTTGAATTAAATGTATACAAGTTAATCGAGTCGTTTTTAATGCATCACTTAATGTTAAATAGTTAACCGTATTGGAATGGATAATAATTATAAAAATAAATAAATAGATACAATAAAATGTCTATTTATCGAGTAGTTTATGCAGTAAATCGTTCTTAGTTTATGTAAATGATTTCATGTGGCAGTGAGAGAATTGTAGAATTAATATTAATTTGAGTCAAAGGTGGATTTAATTTAGAAAAAATTGATATATTATTATAATACATGTATTTGTATCAACACTCATTGCATTTATACATAAATGATAAGGTGTACAAAAAATAAAGTAGGCGTTTGTAATAAATCACAAACGTCTTAGACTATAATAAGGAGATCTTTGATAAGGAATAAATTAATTTTCAATTGAAGTTCAATCGAGTAAGAATTTATTGTAATCACGTTCTTATTTTTTCCTTAAAAAACAATCTAAATTAAAATAATAAAACCTTGAAGGTATATTAGGATTAAATCGATTTTCTTTATTAAATTCAATTTTAACTCGTTAATCCCATTTAAAACTGCAAGGTTTCCTTTTTATTTAAATGATTCTTACTTACCACATTTTCTGTGTTGACACATATCGTGCTACATCCGCTTAATTGGTTTTCGCAGGAACAATTTTTGTTCTGCTCAGAACTTGGCATTATATCGTCCATATGTAATAGAAATAACTAAATATAAATTAAATAATATTAATAAATTTTATGAAATAAATTGTTTACTTTATAAAAAGGAGCTTTTGCTCCATCCGCTATTCCTTGAATTTCTTCTATGTATTGGGGAAAATTTTCTTTTACTACTGCTAAAGTGTTTTCGTAAGCTTCTTTTCCCGATTCAGTTTCATATGTAGGTAGTTTTAAAAATTCTACGCATTTTTCTAATAAATCGTGAATCATGGATCCAAATGTGGTACCCTGTAATAATTAGAGAATGCCATATAAAAGATTTTTAGAAAAATGCAAAAAATTGGTGGTTATTTATAATATTTCTCTGAAAATCAAGTTTTTCAGGAATTTTTGCAAATTTCGGGGTGAGCAGAATTTTTCATCAATTCAATTTGAACCAAATCGTATTCTCCATACTCTATAGCAGTAAATATGGAAAGAAAATTATTATTGTCTTTTTTAATTTTTCTGGAAAATTGAGTTTTCTTATTCTTTTTGCAAATTTCGAGCTGCGTATAAATTTTAGTCAATTTAAATTGAACCTCATCATATTTTTCACCATCTATAGCAACAAATATAAAAAGAAAATTTATTTTGCTATGTTCTAGTTTTCTGAAAAACATGTTTTTATAAATTTTCTCAAATTTCAAGCTGAGCACAACTTTTAATTAATGAAATTTGAATCGCATCATATTTTTTACCATATGTAGCAACAAATACAAAAAGAAAATTCCTTTTGCCATGTTCAATTTTTCTGAAAAACATGTTTTTCTGGAATTTTTGTACATTTCGGGTTGAGCAAAATTTCTGATCACTTTGGTTTGAACTCTAACATATTCCTCGTCATCTTTAAAATAGCTGTTACGAAAAAAATACTTTTGCCACTTGAACTAAGGAGAATTTTTCTAAATTGTTTACAAATCTCGAGCTGGGCACAATTTAATTAATTAAGTTCGAACTGCATCATTTTTTCACCATATATAGCAACAAATATAAAAAGAAAATTCATATTGCTATGTTCTAGTTTTCTGAAAAACGTGTTTTTCTGGAATTTTTGTAAATTTTGGGTTGAGCAGAATTTTTCATCAATTCAATTTGAACCAAATCGTATTCTCCATACTCTATAGCAGTAAATATGGAAAGAAAATTATTATTGTCTTTTTTAATTTTTCTGGAAAACTGAGTTTTCTTATTCTTTTTGCAAATTTCGAGCTGCGCATAATTTTTAATCAATTTAATTTGAACCTCATCATATTTTTCGCCATCTATAGCAACAAATACAAAAAGAAAATTCATTTTGCCATGTTTAATTTTTTTGAAAAACATGTTTTTCTAGAATTTTTCCAAATTTCGGGGTGAGCAGAATTTTTCATCAATTCAATTTGAACCATATCGTATTCTCCATACTCTATAGCAGTAAATATGGAAAGAAAATTATTATTGTCTTTTTTAATTTTTCTGGAAAACTGAGTTTTCTTATTCTTTTTGCAAATTTCGAGCTGCGCATAATTTTTAATCAATTTAATTTGAACCTCATCATATTTTTCGCCATCTATAGCAACAAATACAAAAAGAAAATTCATTTTGCCATGTTTAATTTTTTTGAAAAACATGTTTTTCTAGAATTTTTCCAAATTTCGGGGTGAGCAGAATTTTTCATCAATTCAATTTGAACCATATCGTATTCTCCATACTCTATAGCAGTAAATATGGAAAGAAAATTATTATTGTCTTTTTTAATTTTTCTGGAAAACTGAGTTTTCTTATTCTTTTTGCAAATTTCGAGCTGCGCATAATTTTTAATCAATTTAATTTGAACCTCATCATATTTTTCGCCATCTATAGCAACAAATACAAAAAGAAAATTCATTTTGCCATGTTTAATTTTTTTGAAAAACATGTTTTTCTAGAATTTTTCCAAATTTCGGGGTGAGCAGAATTTTTCATCAATTCAATTTGAACCATATCGTATTCTCCATACTCTATAGCAGTAAATATGGAAAGAAAATTATTATTGTCTTTTTTAATTTTTCTGGAAAACTGAGTTTTCTTATTCTTTTTGCAAATTTCGAGCTGCGCATAATTTTTAATCAATTTAATTTGAACCTCATCATATTTTTCGCCATCTATAGCAACAAATACAAAAAGAAAATTCATTTTGCCATGTTTAATTTTTTTGAAAAACATGTTTTTCTAGAATTTTTCCAAATTTCGGGGTGAGCAGAATTTTTCATCAATTCAATTTGAACCATATCGTATTCTCCATACTCTATAGCAGTAAATATGGAAAGAAAATTATTATTGTCTTTTTTAATTTTTCTGGAAAACTGAGTTTTCTTATTCTTTTTGCAAATTTCGAGCTGCGCATAATTTTTAATCAATTTAATTTGAACCTCATCATATTTTTCGCCATCTATAGCAACAAATACAAAAAGAAAATTCATTTTGCCATGTTTAATTTTTTTGAAAAACATGTTTTTCTAGAATTTTTCCAAATTTCGGGGTGAGCAGAATTTTTCATCAATTCAATTTGAACCATATCGTATTCTCCATACTCTATAGCAGTAAATATGGAAAGAAAATTATTATTGTCTTTTTTAATTTTTCTGGAAAACTGAGTTTTCTTATTCTTTTTGCAAATTTCGAGCTGCGCATAATTTTTAATCAATTTAATTTGAACCTCATCATATTTTTCGCCATCTATAGCAACAAATACAAAAAGAAAATTCATTTTGCCATGTTTAATTTTTCTGAAAAACAAGTTTTTCTAGAATTATTGCAAATTTCGGGTTGAGCAGAATTTTTTATCATTTCGGTTTAAACTCTAATATATTCCTCATCATTTCTAAAATAGCAAATTTGTAAAAAAATACTTTTGATATTTGCCAATTATTTGAAAAACCATTTTTCATGAATTTTTACAAATGTCGAACTGAACAGTATTTTCCATTAATTCAATTTAAACCATATTGCAATCATTTATAGCAACAAGTACAAAAAGAAAATTCCCTTTATCATGTTCTATTTTTCTAAAAAACAAGTTTTTTTAAATTTTTTTATCGGGTTGAACAAAATTTTTGATCAATTGGGTTTAAACACCAATATATTCCTTATTATCTCTAAAACAGTTAGATTGTTAAAAAAATACTTTTGTCATTTCCCATTTTTTTAGAAAATCAGTTTTCCATTCCTTTTTGCAAATTTCGAGCTGCGCAGAATTTTCCACAATTTAAAACCACATTCCATTCCTCAACATCTGTAGCAACAAATACAAAAAGAAAATTCATTTTGCCATGTTTAATTTTTTTGAAAAACATGTTTTTCTAGAATTTTTCCAAATTTCGGGGTGAGCAGAATTTTTCATCAATTCAATTTGAACCATATCGTATTCTCCATACTCTATAGCAGTAAATATGGAAAGAAAATTATTATTGTCTTTTTTAATTTTTCTGGAAAACTGAGTTTTCTTATTCTTTTTGCAAATTTCGAGCTGCGCATAACTTTTAATCAATTTAATTTGAACCTCATCATATTTTTCGCCATCTATAGCAACAAATACAAAAAGAAAATTCATCTTGCCATGTTTAATTTTTTTGAAAAACATGTTTTTCTAGAATTATTGCAAATTTCGGGTTGAGCAGAATTTTTTATCATTTCGGTTTGAACTCTAATATATTCCTCATCATTTCTAAAATAGCAAATATGTAAAAAAATACTTTTGACATTTGCCAATTATTTGAAAAACCATTTTTCAAAAAAAAATTCCCATTATCATGTTCTATTTTTCTAAAAAACAAGTTTTTCTATCGGGTTGAACAACATTTTTGATCAATTGGGTTTAAACACCACTATATTCCTTATTATCTCTAAAACAGTTAGATTGTAAAAAAAATACTTTTGTCATTTCCCATTTTTTTAGAAAATCCATTAGTTTTCCATGATTTTTTGCAAATTTCGAGCTGAGCAGAATTTTCCACAATTTAAAACCACATTCCATTCCTCAACATCTGTAGCAACAAATACAAAAAGAAAATTCCTTTTGCCATGTTCAATTTTTTTGAAAAACATGTTTTTCTGAAATTTTTCAAATCAGCAGAAAACTCTAATATATTCCTCATCATCTTTAAAATAGCTGTTACGAAAAAAAAAAACTTTTGCCACTTGAACTAAGGAGAATTTTTCTAAAATTTTTACAAATCTCTACTAACTGGGCACAATTTAATTAATTAAATTTAAACCGCATCATATTTTTCACCATCTATAGCAACAAATATAATAAGAAAATTTATTTTGCTATATTCTAGTTTTCTGAAAAACATGTTTTTTTAGAATTTTCTCAAATTTCGAGCTGAGCAGAACTTTTAATTAATGAAATTTGAATCGCATCATATTTTTTACCATATGTAGCAACAAATACAAAAAGAAAATTCCTTTTGCCATGTTCAATATTTCTGAAAATCATGTTTTTCTGAAATTTTTGCAAATTTTGATTTAAGTAGAATTTCTGAACAGGTTGGTTTGAACGGTATTATATTCTCTATCCTTTCTATTATAGCTGTTACTTAAAAAAATACTTTTGCAACCTGAACTAAGCAGAATTTTTCTAAAATTTTTACAAATTTGGAGCTGGGCACAATTTAATTAATTAAGTTTGAGCTGCATCATTCTTTCACCATCTATAGCAACAAATATAAAAAGAAAATTCATATTGCTATGTCCTAGTTTTCTGAAAAACATGTTTTTCTGGAATTTTCTCAAATTCCGAGCTGGGCAGAACTGTTAATTAATTAAATTTGAACCTTATCATATTTTCCGCCATCTATAGTAACAAATACAAAAAGAAAATTCATTTGGCCATGTTCAATTTTTCTGAAAAACATGGTTTTCTGGAATTTTTGTAAATTTTGGCTTAAACAAAATTTCTGAACAGCTTGGTTATATTCTTTGTCGTTTCTATAATAGCTGTTACGAAAAAAAATACTTTTGCCACTTGAACTAAGCAAAATTTTTCCAAAATTTTTACAACTCTCGAAATGGGCACAATTTATTTAATTAAAGTTGAACCGCATCAATTTTTTCACCATCAATAGCAACTAATATAAAAAGAATATGTTTTTCTGGAATTTTTACAAATTTCTGGTTGAGCAGAATTTTTTATCGCTTTGGTTTGAACTCTAATATATTCTTCATCAACTCTAAAATAGCTAATTTGTAAAAAAATACTTTTGTCATTTGCTATTTCTTTGGAAAACCATTTTTCATGAATTTTTACAAATTTCGAAGTGAGCAGAATTTTCCATTAATTAAATTTGAACCACATCGCATTCCCCATAATTATAGCAACAAATACAAAAAGAAAATTCTTTTAGCCATGTTCTATTTTTCTAAAAAAAACAAGTTTTTCTAGATTTTTTACAAATTTGAGGTTGAGTAAAATGTTTAATCAATTTGGTTTGAACTCTATCATGTTCCTTATTATCTCCCAGATAGCTTATTTGTAAAAAATACTTTTTTCATTTCCCATTTTTTATAGAAAAACAAGAAATTTCGAGTTGAGCAGAATTTTCCATTAATTCAATTTGAACCACATCCCATTCCCCAACATCTTTAGTAACAAATACAAAAAGAAAATTCCTTTTGCCAGGGAACATTAGCATTTTGTTCCAATCAGCAAGGAAAGTGAAGGAAGTACACTCATAAAAGAACAAGCAAAATTAGTAAAAACCACCCCAGTTGTAAGATAATAATGTAATAACTATCACAATGTGGAACACTTTAATTGCATCGCTGTTGCACTGCATTACAATAAGATGAGACAATTCCTAATAGGTTAGTTAAACCACCAATTATCTTTGTGTTGTATTTAAGCTACAATCTTTCATTAAAGTTCAGGAAGACTTAAAAGCTCCAGTAAAGAATGAAAGTTATGAGACACATTTTATAACACTTTATTTCTTTATTTACTTTGTTGAAAATTTTAATAGGTAAACAAACCATGTAATATAAATATAGAGAACATTATAAAAATCTAAGTAATAAGAATTCCTGTAATTCTCAACATTACGCAATAACATTATGATAACGGATACACCATTCCACTCGTTTTAACAAATAGGTTACAAACACGATATAATATCCTATTTATTTGACCTCATTATTTTTTTTATAAACCATTAAAACAACAATAATTTTTTAACAAAAACTTTATATGTTTTTCTGTTATTTCTAACGTAACAATTTGAATTTATCACATTAACTAAACGACTTCTAATTGTCACCAGTAACAACCATTAATATTACATAAACACGTGGTTCATCGGTTTGAAAATAAACCGATTGTGGCGATGCCATAAAATGGAAATATTACGGTCGTTTAAATCGTGTTTTTGAATTTTTTTAACATTTAATCTTCATTTAAGTTATAGGCGAAATTATCGATTCAATTATTAAATGAATTCAGGTTAATATCGATTCTTATACTCACAAGTAGCATTAGAATTAAAAAACCTTGAAAACAAAAATAAACTCGAAACAATGATAATAATTTTGAGAGTTAAATACCAAAAAAAAAACTCGTTTTTCTTTTTTAATTTGTTTGTGAAGATGTAAAGATTGGGTTTAATGCTTAGTAATCTTGGTATAATTAGGAACGAGTTGTTAATTGTTTCATTTTTTTGATGTGAAGAGATTGAAAGTGTTAAAAACCTAAAATCATTTTAAATAAATATATTTTTTAATTCAAAATAGATTTAATTTAAAAACCTTGGAAATAAAAATAACTCATTGTCAGTGACTAAAGCATCTTGAATCAAAACACAACATTTTTAATCACAATTAATTCGATTAGAAAAAAAGTTATAACTTACAATATCAAATCCGACTTCATAATGAGTTCCACGCGTGTAAATTATTGGAATACACTTCCGTTTACTGGTTATTTCATTTGACATTTTTCACTGAAATATCTGAAAAGTGTTGACTGAAAAACACGTCGCTTAAACGCGTTTTGAAACGGACGGATAGGTTTTGTGTCGTGTGGAAAGAACCCCACACGTATTTATACTAATTGATAATCCCCACTACAAAAAATATCGTCCCTTAAAAGAAACTTATTTAAATTATTATTAACACAATTTTTTAACGTTTTGGGAGATTAAAAAGAAGCAACGTGATAATGTTATCGTTCCTGTATGATAAGGATAAATGTAACAAAAAAAAATCTTTATGGAGGTGATTTAAATTTTATTCTTAATACTAGATTATTGCAGCTTGAGTAACAAGTATCAACCGCGATCTATAATATAATGTTATATAAAAAAAATGAATTAATATTTTTAACAAAATAATGTACAATATATAAACACTCCATTTGATACGCTTTATTTTTTTCAGAATCCTTCTTCGCCTTCAGTTGACGCATTCTTCAACTGTTGAAGAGCTATTCTTGGACTTCTACGTACCGTTTCTGTTTTCCCATTTTCCGAAGCTGCCCCATCCGACTTATTATTGTTTTCTATGTATTTATACGTCCATCGACCAACCGTTTTATCCCACTTTAAATTGAATTAAACCAAAATTAACACAATTTTTTTTAAAGCTTAACGTTATACTTACGGAACTTGTTAAAATTTCCGGTCGAGTTGGATGCCAGGAAATATCTCGAACGCAAACTGAGTGTTCTTTTAACGAACGTTTTACTCTACCAGTTAAAGCGTCATATACTAATAAAATAAAGTAAGTTATAAAAACAAATTTGAAAAATAATTTTAATTACATTTAATTAGCTCTAAAGCAGCTATAAATCAGATTTTAGGCATTTAGATGAGTTTGAAATGATTACCAATCAGTTTTTAACCATTTTGAACGATACTGAATAACCATGAGTTAGTTCAAAATCATTTAGACAAATTTGCTAAAAAACCAATGCATTTTCAATTATTTTGAACAACATCTATAACCTAGTACTCAACCATTTAGACAAGTTTTTAGTTAATTTTGACAACTTGGAATAGTCACGAATTAGTTTTTGACCATTTAGACGCATTACCAAGGATTACCAATCGAATTTTCATCATTTTGAACAATTTTGCAACGTCACAAATCAACTTGATCTAATTTAGATGCAGTTAATTAAGCCTTAAATTAGGTTGCAATAATTTAGACAAATTTCCAAAGTTTGGCAACACACGTTTAATGATTTAGAACAATATAGAATAGCTATAAACTATTTCTCAATCATTTAGATAAGCTTTCAGTAAATTTGGATAACTTGGAATAGCTATGAACCAGCTGTCAACCATTTAGACTAACTACAAAGATGACCAATCGAATTTCAATCATCTTGAACAACCTCATTTTGATATAAATTATCATTTTGAACAACCTGAGGAATCAATGAATCAGTTTTCAACCGTTTAAACAAGTTATCAATGATTACCAATCAATTTTTAATCATTTACACAATTCGAAAGTTTGCCAAACGAATTTTCATCATTTTCAACAATTTTGCAACGTCACAAATCAACTTGATCTAATTTAGATGCAGTTAATTAAGCCTTAAATTAGGTTGCAATAATTTAGACAAATTTCCAAAGTTTGGCAACACACCTTCAATGATTTAGAACAATATAGAATAGCTATAAACTATTTTTCAATCATTTAGATAAGCTTTCAGTAAATTTGGATAACTTGGAATAGCTATGAACCAGCTCTCAACCATTTAGACTAATCACAAAGATGACCAATCGAATTTCAATCATCGTGAACAACCTCATTTTGATATAAATCATCATTTTCAACAACCTGAGGAATCAATGAATCAGTTTTCAACCGTTTAAACGAGTTATCAATGATTACCAATCAATTTTTAATCATTTACACAAGTTTCGAAAGTTTGCCAAACGAATTTTCATCATTTTCAACAATTTTGCAACGTCACAAATCAACTTGATCTAATTTAGATGCAGTTAATTAAGCCTTAAATTAGGTTGCAATAATTTAGACAAATTTCCAAAGTATGGCAACACACCTTCAATGATTTAGAACAATATAGAATAGCTATAAACTATTTCTCAATCATTTAGATAAGCTTTCAGTAAATTTGGATAACTTGGAATAGCTATGAACCAATTCGCAACCATTTAGACTAACTACAAAAATGACCAATCGAATTTTAATCATCTTGAACAACCTCATTTTGATATAAATCATTTTGAACAAGCTGAGGAATCAATGAATCAGTTTTCAACCGTTTAAACAAGTTATCAATGATTACCAATCAATTTTTAATCATTTACACAAGTTTCGAAAGGTTGCCAAACGAATTTTCATCATTTTCAACAATTTTGCAACGTCACAAATCAACTTGAACTAATTTAGATGCAGTTAATTAAGTCTTAAACTAGGTTGCAATAATTTAGACAAATTTCCAAAGTTTGGCAACACACGTTTAATGATTTAGAACAATATAGAATAGCTATAAACTATTTTTCAATCATTTAGATAAGCTTTCAGTAAATTTGGATAACTTGGAATAGCTATGAACCAGCTCTCAACCATTTAGACTAACTACAAAGATGACCAATCGAATTTCAATCATCTTGAACAACCTCATTTTGATATAAATCATCATTTTGAACAACCTGAGGAATCAATGAATCAGTTTTCAACCGTTTAAACAAGTTATCAATGATTACCAATCAATTTTTAATCATTTAGACAAGTTTTCAAAGTTTGCCAACCCAATTTAAACCAGTTGGAACAATATGAAATAGCTACGCACCAGTTCTCAATCATTTAGACAAACTACAAAGATGACGAATCGAATTTCATTATTTCAAATAGTTTTGCACCGTTATATCACAGTTTTCATTTCCTTTTCAGCTATCTGAAGTAGCTATGAATCAGTTTTCAACAATTTAGACAAGTTTTCAATGATATACCAACTTTTCTGTCATTTTGAACAACACTAACTGACCATAATTGAGTTCAGTGTTTAAACAATGATTCCAGAATTCAATAAATGAGTGTAATGATCGTAATGCTTAGTTTTAAAATGCAGAAGTTAGATTCAGATTTCGTACTGACTAAAACGTATATAGCAGATGTAAAACCATTGGGTGCAGCATCTTTGGCGGTTAATTCCACTGTTCAGAAGTTAGATACCGTATCCATTATTAATAAATCAAGTATCCAAGAAATGCCAAAATTTTTTGTTGGATTCTTGCAATGTCCAGTGGATGATTCCAGTATCCAGTACACGATTGCGCTGTTCAAGTGTTGTGTGCAGTATCTGAAGCAATTGGTTCCATAAATCAGAAGTTAGATACCGCATATGTCGTATATGTTATGATTATATCCAGCATTCAGAAAATGACGAAAATTTCTGCTAGATGATTGCAATGTGCAGTGGATGATTTCAGTATGCAGAAGACTATTGTATGTATGCACTGTCCAAGTGTTGTGTGCAGTATCTAAAGCAATTAGTTCCTCATATTTGAGTTATAGAAAGATATTTGAATTTCTTTTTGGCCCTATACGATAAGCAAGAGGTCATATTTTTAATTGGTCATCAAACATTTCTTTTTGACAGACATTAGGTATATCATTGTAGATAGATTATTACCACTAATTAGAATATCAAATCATAAACAAAAAACATTGCCACAAAGATAATTGGAGATAATGTATCACAACTAAAATTAATAAATACTTACTTATAAGTCTTCCATATCCACAACCTGTATAAATATACCTTTGGCCAGTAGTTTCCAAAGGTGAAAATCTAGCCCTAATTAAAGTTCTGGTAACAACATGCCCACGCATTGTTAATATTGAACTATCCCCAGGTAATACACTTTTTGTACTCATCACTATAAAAAAAAATTTTAACCCCACTCTTATACTACAAAAATTTTTTCAAATACTAACTATTTTTTGGCACACCTTGCCAACGATAATCCCAAGTTTGATTTTTAACACACATTTGCGTACTTTCAATAGCTGTCTGATCCGAAAACATTCGCAGATCCCACAGCTTAATCGTCTGATCCTTACTATTTGATATAAGATGCCTATTATCACCGCGCGAACAAATATGCGTTATTCCATCTTTATGACCCGCCAGCATTCCTACAGGTTTACAATCGTCATCGCCTAACGTCCGTCGATCCCAAACGCGAACTAAACCATCGTCACCTCCGCTGAAAATTACGTGCGAGGAATCATCAGCGAAAGCTATACTGTTTACGTCAAAATCATGAGCACGAATCTAAAAATTGATTTAAAAATGATTTAATTCGGGTTAAAATGATCGCAATTAAGTACCCCATGTACGTGTTCATTCCGATCGATGTTGTATGTGTGAAGATGCCCATCGTTTCCGGCGCATAAAACATCCCTTCCATCGGCGGAAAAAGCCAAAGCGAATATCGCGAATCTTCTACTGGTTGGAATTAAATTTAAGGCCATTTGCTTATCAGGATCATCTAAACTACATAATTGAACTAAAAAAAATAAACAAATTAAAATCAATGAAAATAATTCATTATCAAACAAATACTTTGCGAAGACCAAGTTGAATAAACGAAATGTTTTCTTGTAGGGCTTACGGAAACGTCTAAAATACTCCATCCGATATCTCGTCCGGGAATTGTAAATTTAAGTTTATAATGATGATCGCTCGAATCGTATACTCTAATTTTTTGGTCTAAAAAGTGGGTGTCATAAGAATAGCTTATTAATAATTATAAATACTCTCTCCGTCCAAAAATAAGTGTCCAATATTGATTTTTTTGTCCAAAAATAAGTGTCTGATTTATTCAAAGTATTCAATTTTACTCAATTTGGAACTCAAGTACTCAATTTGGAAAAGACTTTCTGAATTGCATTAAAAAACTCTAAATCTGAGACGTTTGTATCGGGAGTATTAGGTGGCTGACATAACATTTTGAATTTGAACCCAGTTCTATTTGAAACTTCATTAAATTTATTGTCACCAGGAAGAATGTGTGGTTTGTTTGGCAATGATCGGATCTTGGCCATTTTGCTTGAATTTCGGGCAACAATTTTCCAATAATCATGTTCTTATACAAGGCCAAATGCCAAGTTTTCCATCCAAATTCTTGTTTTCAGAATGAATCCAACGTGGACGAGCTAAAGCGGCTAAGGCCCACTTTTACCATCCTCCTGATAAACTATCTAGAGCAGTGGTTCTCAAAGTATGGTACGCGTACCACTGATGGTACGCGAGAAGTTCTCAAGTGGTACGCAAAACAGTTTATATTTGCATTATCATTATTGTTTTTTTTTTGTTCAGTGGTACTACCTGATTTTTAAAATAGCCTTAGTGGTACGCAAGGATATAAGTTTGAGAACCGCTGATCTAGAGGATAGTTGCCATGGTTATGGCGGTTTTAAGCGCTCTCATTGGCTAAGAGCTGGATTTATCTATCGGATAAATTTATCAAGAAGTGGTAAAAGTGGGTCTAAGAACATTATTTCAGTGAGAGAATGCTTAGTTTTGCAGGCCCTGTATAGTTCCTTTTTGCTTTCAACTGCTATACGTGCAAAAAGTCAAGGCCCCTCACTTTAGAGATCGATATCTTCGTAACCGCTCGATGAAAAAAATTGCAGTAAAGTTTATTGTAATCAGTGAATATTTCTGCGTATCACATGTTAATTTGGAAATTTTGGGGTCCGCGGTTTTTCTTTTATCGCGAGTTAAGTGAAAAAAGTACCCGATTTTTGAGAGTGCCAGCAACTGTATCTACTTTGCGATTTTTTTTCTCCAAAACTATTCGACGAAAAAATTTCAAATTTGAACTGGTGTGTTCTTAATGTGGGGCATATTTTATTTTTTCGATATTCCATATAGATTTCAACGCGGTTTTTACCAAAATATGTCAAATAATGTCGGTTGTCGGATTCCGTTATCAGTTTTTTAAAATTAGGGTTCCCTAATTTTTTAAGAGCGATTTAAGGGAATTATAAATTAAAGAGAAACAGAAAAAAGCTATGTTCCAGACAGTACGTCGCGCCTTTATCTTACCTACATAAAGAAATAAGGCGCGACGTCCTGTCTGGAACGCACCATCTGTTCCGATTGGAACTAAAGCATAGCTTTTTTCTGTTTCTCTTTAATTTGTAATTCCATTAAATCGCTCTTAAAAAATTAGGGAGCTCTAATTTGGAAAAACTGATAACGAAATCCGACAATCCACATTATTTGACATATTCAGGAAATCCACCCAGCCGGTTTCGACATAACGGCGTCTTACTAAACCGCGATTTTCCGCGAAACTGTATGGAATATCGAAAAAATAAGATATGCCACTCATTAAGAACACATCGGGCTACCACCTGTTTAAAATTAAAATTTTTTCCTACGATAGTTTTCGAGAAAAAAAATCGCAAAATTGACAAAGTTGCCAATACCGTAAAAAAACGGGTACTTTTGTCATTTAACTCGCGATAAAAACAAAACCGTGGATCCGAAAATTTTCAAATTGACATATGTTACGTAGAAATGTTCAGTAATTACAACAAACTGTGTCGTAATTTTTTTTATCGAACGGTTGCGAAGATATCGATCTCTAAAGTGAGGAGCCTTGACTTTTTGCACGGATAGTAAAATCATTTCTCGTCTAAACTTTCTGGTTTAAGCATTGACAGACAATATTTCAGTCTTTCAATTTTATTGGCGTCTGTGAGGAAATGCTTGACTGCATTTGATTTCAGTCTATTAAGAATCGTAGATTTTGGTACGTTGATTAAGAAGCCAACGAACGAATAATACGTTGCTTATGTAATGGTATGGACTTTATTAGCGCCGTCTCAATATTTCCCGGTTTTCGACCAACGAGTTCTTTTTTCCTCCTACTTCAGCACCATCAGCTAATGTTTTTCGGGCTTGATGCCAAATTCGGCTTACAGTTTTAACAGAAATGTAAAATTTATTCGCTGTCATCTTAATTGAGCCTTGTTTCAGTTTGCTATTCTTACTCAATGGGGCCGTTACATTGGCTTATTCGTTAGTTTAGCAAAATTGAAGACTTCTACAATTTTTATTTTTCAAACTGGGCTTTAGTTTTTCAAAAAAAAATAATCACCGTTTCTTTCTCCGTCACTTTCGCACGAGGTTGGTTGAAATAAAAATCAATAAAAGGTGTATGAGCGAGATGCCACGAGAATCTTATGTGCTAAGTCTTATTGATATTACGCGAAAACCTCGTAAACATCACCAAAGCTTTTATAGAGGGGAGTTTGAATTTTAATATTAATTATTGCAAAAATTAACCAATTTTAGGATCTGAAAATGTTATCAATCCTTCCATTTTTACATACAGTCCGCGGCATAAAAAACGCTGGTTTCAAACTGTAATAACTTTCGAATGTATTCCTCGATTTGAATAAGATTATTTTATTTGGAAGGTCTACCCTTTGCCAATATTTCTGTAGGGGCTTTTCCCATATTGGCGCTCTTTAATTTCAGCAATGGTGAAGAACGCTAATGCGTCTTTTCTTCTTACACTTTGAAGCTTGCTGTGGGGTGCACCGATAAAAGAAAATAATTTTAATCATAATGGCCTTGTTAGAAGACCAAAGTTAGAAGCTCTAAAAGATAACGCAGCTTGTTCGGCAGCACCATAAGAAATTATAGCAAGTCATGGAAATTGACGAAAACAGCGTCGTTGATTGTTGCTAAACAAGAAAAATGCCTTTAAGTCTTGCAGAAGTTGCTCAGACAGTGGCTTTGGTGGAAAATGGACTCGTTATGTTACTCGTGTTCTTGGCACGATACAGAGTACGGTTTCACGCGCCGTTCAAAGATTTCGGCAGACTGGTACCTTCATCAAACATTATTGTTATATCGTAACGACCGTGTTAAGAAATCGACATACTACAGCAGTTGAGATAAGAACGTGAGTGATCCCACAGTAAGAAAGAGATTTGAAAAATCGGGGTTGAGATCACAGAGACCAGCAACTAGACCACAGTTGCTTCGAAAACTCGTGTTGCTCGATTTACAATTTATACGAGATCATGTATATGAGACCAATGCAGAGTGGTGAAACGTGCTTTTCTCAGACGAGTCGAGGTTCGGCTTGTATTCTCCAGATGGTCGAGAGAGAGTTTGGAGAAGAGCAGGAGCGCGTTATGCTCAGTGCAACTTCTCTGAAAGCGTACAATACCAGAGAGGATCTGTAATGGTTTGTGGAAGAATCTGCTTCGAAGCACGTATGGAGCTTTGCTTTATCAACGGCAATCTAAACGCGGCTCGGTATATTGAAGAAATTTTGGCTGAACAGATGGCTTGTTCATGCACGCTCCCATACAGCTCGCATAGTGTCCCAATACCTGGATGATTTGGATATCAGCAAAATAGAATGGTAGCCCTGATTTAAATCCCATAGAACACATGTGGGATACTATTCAAGCGAGGGGAGGAAATACCCGTTATTAACATTTTGCTTGATTTACTTGCCACAGATTAATAAAATTAAATTTCATGGACATCCATGACTTGTTTTAATTTCTGATAGCGCTGCCGAAAAAGCTGCGTTATCTTTTAAAGCTTGTAACTTTGGTGCTAACAACAATAGAAACTTAGACAAAAAAACAGAAGTGATCAGAACAGACAAGACTACAAACTCCTTATGATTAAAATTATTTTCTTTTGTCGGTGCACCCCACAGCAAGATTCAAAATGTATGAAAAAAACACGCATTAGCGTTATTCGCCATTGCTGAAATTGAAGAGCGCCAAAATGGGGAAAGGACCTACAGAAATATTGGCAAAGGGTAGACCTTTCAAATAAAAAAAACCTTATTCAAATCGAGCAATACGTTCAAAAGTTATTGCAGTTTGAAACTGGTCATCATTTTAGGTGATGCGTTTTTTATGCCGCTGAGTGTAGTTTATTGATTTTTTGAAATTTGCATCCAGTAACGCATGATAAACGGCTTGCCTTGTGTTGGGACTTAGGTTTGGTCTTTAATGACCATTTCTTGTCAAAATGTTTTTCCTCTCTACCATTATTTTCTTAAAGAGTATCTTTATGTGAGGTTTTGAAAAGTCGCGTTTTTTGGATTAAAAACTTATACTCTAGGAGAAATTACAAAACTTTTTAATGGCAATGAAAAACTTAACCTTTAATAAGTGTTTTCAAAACGACAACTGACGTTTAAAAGCAAGGCCTTTTCTTAATTTTTGAAAATATTGGACACTTATTTCTGGACGAAGGGAGTATATTATTAACCTTGAGCGCCGGTTATAAAATAATTTCCATCGTTTGAAAAAACACCGCAAAACGCTTTTCCGCTGTACCGATCAATTTCTTCCATTGTATTTGGCAAAAACCAATTTTCTATTCTAATTTTATTTGGTCTAGAAAATTTCTCATAAGGACACATATTTCGCTAAAAAGGATTATATTGATATGTTATTTATTAAATATTATTTATTAATTAGTATTTAAGTAAGAATATCCAAAAAATATTTCTTAGAAAAAAATGTGATGCAATTTTCAGAAAGAAATAGTAACCTGAGTAGCAATAAAGTTATTCAGTATAGAAGAAAACTCAAAATAAAACCTAATAATTCAATTAATAAAAAAGGAATTAGGTAAAACATCAAAATCAATTTTAAAAATTATCAATTTGACTTAACCAATATAATTTTATCGTTTTCGTTAATAGATGTCGCCCTAGTTAATCAAATAATCGAGATAGTTTCTTTATTTCCATTTGCAACAAATAAAATCCTTGAAAAATTTCTTCCTCCCCTCTCTTTATTGTGGTTATTGCCTTCCAAGAATTTTTAACATAATCTCTAGCTTAATTTACTTTGTATTGCATGTAAAATGATATCTTTTTTTCTACAATCACCATTAAATAACAACTGTGGAGTTATGAGGAGTATAATATATGATCATGATAATTAATGATTAAGAATTTTCCTGGAGACTCTTATTTAAATACTTAGTCTAGCAAAAATAATACATACTTCTCGATTTAAGAGCATTGAAGTTATATTATTACCAACAGGTCGTCTTCTTGATGTTATCAATCCACTAGCAATTTTAGTACTAAAGTAAAAGTGACTTTTCTACGAAATAAAAAAATAATATTAATTAAAAAAAATAGTTTTAAAAATAATTAACTTACAGAAAGTCTTTTAACACATGGTCTATACACTTTTGGCAACCTGGCACCATATTGTTCACAAGAATATGTATATTCCGATAAATCCACTCGTTCACGAGGGCTATGAGCAAAACTATATTTAATATAAAATTAGACATCTGTGTATAAATCAATAACACCCATTTTATTGACTTACCTATTAATTATCCTTTGAATGAGATCGTAACGTACTTCATCGTTATCACTATCATAATCTGAAGATCTAGAATCATCATCACCCATGGTACGAGAATTAAGGGGGCCCATATGATGATTTTAAAACAAAGGGAAAACTTTGTTTCACCTGGAAGGTGCCCAATTGCTCATAATTTTCACCTATCTACTCTAATTACCTTAAAAAAAAATAAGAAGGTTGATAAAAGGCCATATTTATAAACTTATTAAGTTCTGAGAAGTAAACAATAATGTTTTTGTGATAGGGTTATCAAAATGGAATTTGGAACAACAATAAAAAAAGTACTTTTACCTGATATTTTTTTAATAATTTGTACTGTTGAGATTACTAATATTAAACGTTGACTTTTCGTTTTATTTTGGCAGTCTATTTTTGACTTATCTCGTATGACATGTGCTACGAAATCATTATAAAACGTAGAAAGTGCAATGGTAAATGACAGAGTTGAAAGTTGTTGAAACGCATAACATACCAAATCATCTGATACTTAAAAAAAAATCAATCTTTTATTATTTTTACGAAACAAAAATCATATAAAAGAATACAACGAAATAATTATCCAATAAATAATTCATATTTGTTTTTAATTTATCGTTTTATTTGAAATTTGACGTTACGATATTAGGGAATTTTTCGTTCAACCTAGTTTACGTTGGCGATATCCGCCCAACATTACGACAGCTGTCAAAGTTGTCAATTCGGAAACAATATCTCGATTTTTCATGTTCGATACGCTATCGCGGCGAATTTATTATCATGGCAAGCAATAAAAAAATAGAGGAAGGTATAGAACATATACGATTAGCTGAAAAAAGGTAATCATCTTAAAATTAATTATTCAAAATTTAACTCAACCCTTTTTCCAAATACAGTCTAAAAACATCCCTACTGAAATGGCGACCCGATTTCGAAGAAGCTGCCGATGAATACAACAAAGCAGGTATAAATTAAAAACGGTGGGAGTTTTTAATTCTAATTAAATAATCGGATATGTTTTAAATGTTTTTAGCCACTTGTTTTCGTAATGCAAAATCTTTCGAGCAATGCAAAGACTGTTTGATGAAATCCGCCGATTGTCATAAGCAAAATAGGAAGTATCCTTTATTTTAATGAATTTCTTTATGACATTTAATAAAGAAAGAGGTATTTTTCTTAATAATACATTAGTTTATTTTATGCTGCTAAAGCCCTTGACCAAGCAATAACAGTATGTAAAGAATTAGGAGATTTACGTGAAGTAGGTCAGTTGGCTGATAGAGCAGCAAACATGTATATGCGACATGGAAGTCCAGAAACTGGTGCTGCATCTTTAGACAAAGCTGCGAAGATTTTGGAGCAATCACATCCTGAGGATGCTTTAAAATTGTATCATCAAGCATCAGAAATTGCTTTGGTAAATTTCTTTATAATTATTAAACTAAACTAGAACTAACACTATCATTAGAACTAACATTTGACATAGAACTAGAAACTTTGAGGTTTAGCCATCTTAAGAGACGTATGGCTGAACCCAAATGTTTCTAGTTCTAGAGCTAATGCTGGTTCTAGTGACAATGCAAGTGTAAAACTAGAACTAACACTATACCTAGAATTAGAATCATTAGAGATGTAGGGCTAAACCAAAATGATTATAGTTTTAGGCAGAGCTGGGCAAACTGCTTGAAAAAAGTAGTTTAACTACTTGGTAGTTTAACTACTTTTAAAATATGGTACTTAGATTACTAACTACCAAGTAATACTTGGTAGTTAGTAGTTAAATATCTAACTACTTTTTTAACTATGACTGCAAAAATGCATAAAAAGGTCTACAATAATAAATAAAGAAATGCAAAATAAAATAAACAACTTTTTATTATATAAAGTTTATTTTAAAGGTAACTACAGTTTCTAGTTAGCAGTTAACAACTGTTTGAACTGTTATACATAAATTATGCTTAAAAGTCAGATTCTTTTGGTACAAAAACACAAAGCTGAAACTTATGAAGTAGGTATTAAGATTATTTAGAAATTTAAAGTTGTTTAAAAAATATAATAAACAAATAAACATAGAATCTTGTAACATTAATAGCATCAAGGGCGTAATTTACGGAATGAAATCTAGGCAGAGCTGGGCAAACTGCTTGAAAAATGTAGTTTAACTACTTGGTAGTTAAACTACTTTTAAAATATTGTACTTAGATTACTAACTACCAAGTAGTTAGTAGTTAAATATCTAACTACTTTTTTAACTATAACTGCAAAAATGCATAAAAAGATCTACAATAATAAATAAAGAAATGCAAAATAAAATAAACAACTTTTTATTATATAAAGTTTATTTTAAAGGTAACTACAATGTCTAGTTAGCAGTTAACAACTGTTTGAACTGTTATACATAAATTATGCTTAAAAGTCAGATTCTTTTGCTACAAAAACACAAAGCTGAAACTTATGAAGTAGGTATTAAGATTATTTAAAAATTTAAAGTTGTTTAAAAAATATAATAAACAAATAAACATAGAATCTTGTAACTTTAAATGCATCAAGGGCGTAGTTTACGGAATGAAATCTACAGACTTGTTCTAACACGACTTATTGGTCAACTGGCGTGTTTTGGCTAGTGCATAATTTTATTTAGGTTTAGTGTGTTGAAGGAAATGTGTAAATAAGTACCTACTAGATGTTTGGAAGTACCTAAACTGTCTTAAAAGTAGTTAAATTACTTAAAAGGAATTAAAATAAACAAAAATAGTAAGAATACCTAAAGTAGTTAAATATGAGGAGTTAACTATTTTCTGCGAATATTTTATGCCAGCATAAAATAATCGAGTATAACTACTAATAGAACGAAAGTAGTTAGAAAGTAGTTAGTGTAAAACTAGAACTAACACTAGACCTAGAACTAGAATCATTCGGGTTTAGCCGTCTTTAGAGACGTGGGGCTAAATCCAAATGATTCTAGTTCTAGGTATAGTGTTACTTCTACAGTGTAACAGTGCAAGTGTAAAACTAGAACTAGCACTAGACCTAGAACTAGAAACATTCGGGTTTAGCCGTCTTTAGAGACGTGTGGCTAAATCCAAATGATTCTAGCTCTAGGTCTAGTGTTAGTTCTACTTTTAATTGTTATGTAGCGCTAGACCAAGAACTAGAATCATTTGGGTTTAACCGTCTTAAGAGACGTACAGCTAAACCCAAATGTTTCTAGTTTTAGATCTAATGTTAGTTCTAGTGCTAGTGCAAGTGTAAAATTAGAACCTAGAACTAGAATCATTCGGGTTTAGCCGTCTTTAGAGACGTGCGGCTAAACCCAAATTCTAGTTCTAGGTATAGTGTAGGATTCGCAAAAAACCGGAATATTTCAAAAACCGATTTTTCAATTAATTAATAATGGCAAATAACCAAAAAATTGCGTAAAGTACAACTAAAAGTGTTTATAGAAGGATGTCAAAATAATTATCATATTAAAACTATACAAAGCAAATATTATGTGTATTAAAATTACAAAATATACAACAGAAAAGGTATATTTTTCTACAAAAACAAAATTAAAATATAATTTATAAACTTAATGTTTTTATAAAATAATATTTTAAAAAACTAACGCGTCTATTAAGTCGAATTTACTTTTTGACCTGAATTTTATTCAAAAGTTACTCGCAACGGAAAAACTCTTCCACTTTCAGTATATGTCGGTTGTGTAGTCCCTAAAGCTTTGTATAAATTTTCTTAATTTTTGTCGCTTCAAACATCTTTAATTCTTTTTTTACGTTATTTCCAAACTCGGTCTCTCTGTTTTTTTTTGTATCCTGCAACATTTTCGAGATCGTTTCTTGCATCTGCTGAAACAAAGATGTTCCTGTAGTTGCTGATTTTGTTACTTCTTTAATTGCATCAGCTTCCTTCTCAATCCCTTCGTTATTTGGAACTTTAAATAATCTTTCCGCCAAAGAAGATGGTATGTCATCCCCTTGCGGGAAAGATCCGCTATGTACAAATTTATATAACGTAGTTATATGTATCTAAAATTCTTTTGTTTATTGAGTGATACATTTTTTTTTCCAAATTTACTATCGTTTTGCTCTAATTTATTAAATAAAAATATTAGAACGCCCTCTGCCTTTAATAAATTTGAGGATGATTTACTTAGTTCTATAACTGCCAATTCCACAGGTTTCAACATATCAATTAAAATCCTATTCAATGTACAAATCACTTCGTCAGATTTCTTGTAATGCTTTGTTTATGCAGTCTTTTGTTTGAATGAATATTTCCATCATTGGTATAAGTGAATTCCATCTAGTTTTACAATCTAGTAAGAAGGATAGTGTTTTGCTTTCTTTTTCAAAAACATATCGTTGCAGTATGCCGTTCCTAACTGGTGATTTTCTGAAAGATTTTAATATCTGGCGCACATTTTGTAAAATGTTCTCCACATCTTTATCTTCCAAACTGTACTCATTATTGTTTTCATTGTTATCATCTCGAAACGATAACCTGTTTCTGTATCAGAAAATTCTTGTGCTAGGCTGGTACTATCACATTTTTTATAGAAGGTATCCATTATAGCTAAATGAATTGCATGGTTTAGGCAAAATTGATTTTCAACGCCATTCAACTGTGTATATTTTTTCATAACACTGGCCCCATCTTGAGTTGAAGCCAAAATATGTGTATTTACGTAATATCATTTTCGTTTAATTTTCTTTCAACTAATACCTGCTCTTGATGGGTATCGCAAAAACTTTTTATGGAAATAAGACTTAACTGTCATTCATTGTGTGCAGTAATAGAAAAGCCATCATAAGCAGCACACTTACTTGGCTAATAATTCTGCCATGGATTCTCTTTGAATAAAATTCGCCATGCTAGAAGATTCGACTGCACTCTTATTTCTTTTTTCAGGAGGTTTTAAAATTGCGTAACATTTCAAACATTTTGCTTCATTTTCTTTTACTCTCTGAAATATTTTCCACACACCTAATTTAACTACTAAATTTAGAACTAACACTAAACCTAGAACTAGAAACTTTCGGGTTTAGCCGTCTTAAGAGACGTACGGCTAATCCGAAATGTTTCTAGTTCCAGGTCTAATATTAGTTCTAGTGACAGTGCAAGTATAAAGTAGAGCTAACACTATCATCTAGAATCATTCGGATTTAGCCGTCTTTAGAGACGTGCGGTTAAACCCAAATGATTCTAGTTCTAGGTATAGTGTTAGTTCTACATAGTAACAGTGCAAGTGTAAAACTAGACCAAGAACTAGAATCATTCGAGTTTAGCCGTCCTAAGAGACGTACAGCTAAACCCATATGATTCTAGTTTTAGGTATAGTGTTAGTTCTACATAATAACAGTGCTCTAGTGTAAAACTAGAACTAACACTAGACCTAGAAACATTCGGATTTAGCCGCACGTCTTTCAAGACGGCTAAACCCGAATGATTCTAGTTCTAGGTCTAGTGTTAGTTCTAGTGAAAATGCTAGTGTTCTAGTTTTAGTTTAATTAACACCGGCTGTGAAAGCCTTCATACTTATTATATTTCCTCATAATTACTTATGAAGCATTTATAATAATTTTATTTTTAATTATAGATTCAAGATAGTACAAGACAAGCAGCAGAATATATCAGTAAAGTAGCTCGAATTAATGTTAAACTGAAAAAGTTAGTTAATAATTTATTAATTGCGTTTAAAAATATTAATTAATTAATTATTTGATTAGGTTTGATGCTGCAGCTGATGCAATAAGACGCGAAATTGGTATTCATCAACAAAATGAATCTTACCAAGCGATGGGACGATTAGCCGTTGCCTTAGTTTTGGTACAATTGGGTAGAGGAGATGTTGTCGCGGCAGAAAAAGCATTTAAAGAATGGGGTAATTGTTGTGAAGGCGCCGAAGTACAAACATTAGAAATGCTGTTACAAGCGTACGACGAAGAAGACCCCGATGCGGCTAGACAAGCTTTAAATAATCCATTTATCAAGCATATGGATGTAGAATATTCGATTTTAGCTAGAGATATGCCCCTTCCAGAAGGAATTAATATTCCCCAAAAACCGAACGTTAGAGAGAACGCTACGGCCTCATACGTCTCGCCTAATTCCAATAATGTAACTTAGAAATCATTTAATTTTCTTTCATAATTAATTTTTTTTTAATTTTAGGATCAAATTTCCCCCGATCAAACGTCTACTTCGACTCCCCTCGCATCTGGAGATTCAAAACCACCACAAGTTGACGAAGAGGAAGATGAAGAAGACGAGGGTCTATGTTAAATTACATTCCGCTCAGATTGCGTAACTTAACACATTTGCAATGTTAAAATTAAATGAAATCTGATTGTTTTTAATGTTATTGTTGAGTTGTATATATATATATGATGTGTATATGATTTATTTTATAGTTATTTCTTTGTTATTTTAGAACGTTTATTTATTTTAAAATTTTTGTACAAAGATAAATAGCACCCAACTAAGTAATGTATGTTATTTAATGATGGAAAAAAAACTGAACTGGATATTGATCACTATAGTTATTATAGTTATAATTACGAAATAGTTGTTAATCGATTTTTGCTGCAGTTCTAATTGAATAAACTTCAGCTTTATGGCATAATCGTTTTTTAAAGTAGATCTTACAATTTTTAACCTATTCAATCAAGATGGAGTAAGATAATAATTAGCAAAAGGAACAGCAAAAAATATTTTATGTAATTTTGGAGTTTTGACTTCAACTTGATATATGGAAGAAGACTTATTGTTGTCATCAGCTTGCTGAAGGCGTAAATATCCCCAGCAACAGATTGATTGAAAAATTAATCAGATGCTGACGCTTTCATCCTTTTGTAGTAGTTAACCTATACCCCATTGAACATGTTTAGAATTGAAGTCACCACATGTGATGAATCCTATATCCATGTGTATTTAGGAAGTCTAAGTATTGTTCTTTTTTCAGAGTATCTAATGAGCATGTCTTAATGTGTAAACTGCGGAGACAATAAATTCATGTTTTTGCCTTGGTCAGGTTGTGTTGGTAATTTCTGGTGTAGTCTTTGTCCAGAACGTTTGATGGCGCAATTACTTAGAGAGCACGACTTCGTGACCGATTGCAGCTGCAGTGGCAACCACCATCACACTGTATCTGACGGATTTTCGGTGGATTTTCGTTTTGGCTGAAATATTAATTTCTGCCAATATTTTTGTGCTGTTACTTTTTTTCAAGAAAACTCTCGTGGAATTACGACAAAATTATCCCAAAGCCATTGTATGCCCACCATGTAACAACTTCTTAATTTTTTCTAGAATCTTCATTTCGGTTGATATTCGGCGGACTCCTTTTAAAGACTCTGCTAACTTTTTCTTGCTGACGTACGAATATTTCAGTGCCGTACGTTCCCCCAATTATCACAATAATTAGCAAACACAGAAATCTGTCGAAGGACTGATTTTTGTGCTGTTTCACCCAGTGCCGGCGCTAGCAAATGAAGCGCCAGGGTACGGGAACCGGAGTGGCGCCCCCTCACCAAGCAGAGAAAACAAAAAATTGATTATAAACGAAACATGATTTTTTATGGCAATAGTTATGTGTTCAATAAAAGAATACGAAGAATATGAACAAGAAACTAATGGACTTGTCTTGTTATTGCACAGGACAGGAAATCACCAATACTGAAACTTTGCCAATGCAGGATAAGCACAAAAGCAAACTAACAGCTGCAGAAATGAGGTACCAGGTGGTACAAGATCCGTATAGATAATAAGAGGCTCCCAAAAAGATGATGATAGACACCCAGAAAGAAGTAGCTGTCAGTATCAAGAACAAAACATACATAACGTTGGCAGAAGACTAGATACTGCTTCTAAAAAACTAAATACTGCTTTCTGAAGACTAGATACTGCTAACAGGTCTAAATACTGCAAAAGAAAGATAAAATATTTTGGAGAAAACATACATAACTTTGGCAGAAGACTAGATACTGCTTCTAGAAGACTAAATACTGCTTTCTGAAGACTAGATACTGCTAACAGGTCTAAATACTGCAAAAGAAAGATAAAATATTTTGGAGAAAACATACATAACTTTGGCAGAAGACTAGATACTGCTTCTAGAAGACTAAATACTGCTTTCTGAAGACTAGATACTGCTAACAGGTCTAAATACTGCAAAAGAAAGATAAAATATTTTGGAGAAAACATACATAACTTTGGCAGAAGACTAGATACTGCTTCTAGAAGACTAAATACTGCTTTCTGAAGACTAGATACTGCTAACAGGTCTAAATACTGCAAAAGAAAGATAAAATATTTTGGAGAAAACATACATAACTTTGGCAGAAGACTAGATACTGCTTCTAGAAGACTAAATACTGCTTTCTGAAGACTAGATACTGCTAACAGGTCTAAATACTGCAAAAGAAAGATAAAATATTTTGGAGAAAACATACATAACTTTGGCAGAAGACTAGATACTGCTTCTAGAAGACTAAATACTGCTTTCTGAAGACTAGATACTGCTAACAGGTCTAAATACTGCAAAAGAAAGATAAAATATTTTGGAGAAAACATACATAACTTTGGCAGAAGACTAGATACTGCTTCTAGAAGACTAAATACTGCTTTCTGAAGACTAGATACTGCCGACAGGTCTAAATACAGCGTCTGGAACACTAAATACTGCTTTCTAAAGACTAAAATTGCTTTGTGGAGACTAAATACTGCTTTTTGAAGACTAACTACTAATGACAGGTCTAAATACTGCAAAAGAAAGATGAGATATTGTTGGAGATAACATTAAAAAGGCGCCGGCGCCCCCTTTTAAGCGGCGCCCGGGTGCAGTGCACCCCCTGGTAGCGCCGCCTCTGGTTTCACTACTCGTGGCGCAAGATAAACAGCATCCGCTTTGAGAAACTACTATTTTTAGGTTAAAATCAGACCTAAACAATTCTCCTCTATTAGTTCTGCCTTCTAACCCAATTTTCCTCATCTTCTCTACTATTCAATAGTCTCTGTCTCATCAACGTCAATATAGTTCTGTCTAAATCTCCAACAGAAAAGTCTAAATGCGTTTTTATTTCCTGATTCATGATAATTCTCTGAAATAAAGATTTTCTCTAAAAATGCCTGCTTGGTAATTGTGAACAGGGTTCAGTTGGGTATTAGAGAAAACAAAAACAATCTGTTGTTGTAAATAGCATACGACAAGCGTTACTGCGACAAATACCCGTTAAAGTTTTCGGTTTTCCCCGAATGATTCTAGTTCTAGGTCTTGTGTTAGTACTAGTGATAGTTCTTGTTTTAATTTTTATTAAGCGTTAAATTGTTGTCTATTTTTATTGAAATAGTGCTAACACTAGAACTAGAAACATTTGGGTTTAGCCCTACGTTTTTTAAGACGGCTAAACCCGATTGATTCTATTTCTTAGTCTAGCGCTGTATAACAATTAAAACCAGAACTAACACTAGACCTAGAACTAGAAAGTTTCGGGTTTAGCCGTGCGTCCCCAGGTCTAGTGTTAGTTCTAGTTTTACTTCAATAAAAATATGCAGCATAGTGTTCATTGTTGTGGTTGAAATATATTGTACTGCCAATATTTTTGTGCTGTTACTTTCTTTTCAAGAAAACTCTCGTGGAACTACTGCAGAATCATCTCCAAGCCATTGTATGCCCACCATGTAACAACTTTACTAACTTTTTCTTGCTGACGTACGGATATTTCTGTGCCGTACGTACTCCCAATTATCATAATAAATAACTGATTTTTGTGCTGTTTCGCAATTACTTCATTCGTTTTGAGAAATTACTACTTTTGGGTTAAAATCAGACCTAATAACAATTTTCCTCTATTGTTTCTACCTCCTAATATAATCTTCCCCATCTCTTCTACTATTCAATAGTCCGTCTCATCAAGGTCAATAGTTCTGTCTATATCTCCAGCAGAAAAGTCTAAATGCGTTTTTATTTCCTGATTCATGATAATAATCTGAAATATAGATTTTCTCTAAAAATGCCTGCTTGGTAATAATGAAGAGGATAATAAAAAAACAATTATCATAAAAATAAAGAAAAAAAGACTCCCTCTTAAAAAGTGAATATTTATTTTCAATTAAGTTAAATTACAAATTCCAACAAGAACACATCTTATACATTCTTTGAAAAACACAGATACAATGGCGACTCGGACTATCTACTGTAAAAAAATCTACACTCGCGACGACTCAACATTCAATAAACAAAAAGAAAAAAAAACAGCAATTGAAATTTCCTACTAAATGTGGTCGGTGGACCCTCACTGTTACTTCCAGGCTTGTCGTAGAGCTTTTCTTAACGCCAACTGTTTCGTAACGTACGATGAAACGATTAACCCAACCAACACCATAACAATCAGCCAATGATCGAAATCCTCTTTGAGCATATCGAACGTTTTCGACGGCATCACCCGCGTATAGAACAAATCCAATCCGTGCACAAACACCAACGTTGTGCTTTCTAAACGAGCCGGCGAAACGTTAATTCCCTTAATCCGTGCTAAACTTTGGTTATAATTTATCGTTGCTTCTGTGACTAGAGGTAATTCGGGCATGTACGGCACCGAACCTTCATCGGGACTCGAAAGAATGTGTTGTCCCCTTGGTTCTAAGAACATCCAAGGCATTTCATTTACGCCCCCGTTTGCTAAAGCGATGAGTAAGTGTTTATTTGTTATTCCGCGCTCGGTTAATGTTGCAACCATAGCTAAAGGATAAGCCGGGAGAATGCAAGATAAAGTTTCGACGTGCGGGAGTTGACTCAAAGCGTGAGAACTAAAAGCTGTACTGTTACTTTGTCTTGCACCTTCGTAAAGCTCTAAAGAACCCATTTCCATGCGGCGGAATTTTTCGTTAAAGTAAGAATAAACCACCCAATTTTCCGAATGAACTAAATGAATCGGCTCTTTAGCTCGTTTATGATTAATCGAGTAAATAATTAATCCCGTTACACCATCGATTAAATACACGCTTAAAACGTGTTTGTGTATTGGGTCTTCTGTTAAAGTTGCTAAAGCGATTAAATTTGGATTTACGTATTTATATAAAACTGATCTATCAGCTAATACTCTTCCTTGGGAATGCACCCTTTCAATTGCAGGTCTTACACTGACCGCAACAATTTCTGACGGTTTAAACGTGAGTTTCCACGTAGGTGTTGCTTTCAAATTCATTTTTGTGCTATGTACGAAATTAAATCCGTTTAAAATGCCGGTTATACTGTTTATGGTGTACATATAAGTTGAAGATAAATGAGTTTGATACAAAATTTGTTGCATATTTTCCGGGTATAAATAAGGTTTGTCTTCGTCGCTTAAAATTAATAATCCTTTTAAATGTGATTCATCTTCGTAGGGTAATAGCATAATTTGTTTTATTTTATAATCTAAATTTTTCAAACCATCTTTTGGTTCTCCCGTGATTGGATCAAAATTGTACAACACCCCTTTACCCGTTTTAATATTTCGAGCAACAAGAATATATTCGGCGGTTAATGGGGCGTATCTCGCATTTCTTTGTTCTAACAGTATTATACTTTCTTTATCAAAAATTTTAAATGGTTCAATATCTGGAAGAGTTACACTCCAAATAATTTCCCCTGATAAACTATCCAACGCAAATAATTTCCCAACGTTCGTCGCAATGATAATTAATTTATGCAAACCGAATTCGTCACGTATTAATTTATTCGATTTTAATTGTTGGCCTGATAATAATGATGATAGTTGCCTCGTTTGGCTGAGGAGGCGGTTATAAAGCATTGCTATAACATCGTTTGATGGGGTAAATTCTTTCTCGATGGATGCGTCTAAATCGGAAACCGGTAATTCGACGAATTCAACCCCGGAAATTTTACTCAACGATTCTTCCCTCGTCCATAAAATTTTTCCCGTCGGTAGTTGTAATAACCCCACTACGTCCGTTGTTGTTGTAAATAGCATACGACACGCGTTTCCGCGACAAATCCCCGTTAAAGCTTTCGGTTTTCCTAAACTATTTAAATATTCAACATCTATAACATTATCTTGCCCCGCGAGTTCCATCGTTTTTATTCGTAAATTAGACGAATCATTTGTACTTAAATCCATAAATTGTATTTGATCGTTATTATTAATAATAATCGCGTCTGGCGAAAAAGAATTTGGTAATACAACCGTATCGGATTGTTTTAAAATTACTAAACGAGCAACATTATTTCTTATTAATAATATAGCCGGTTCGGTGTATTTAAACTCTTTAATTGTAACTTTTCCTGGAGCATTTCCAATTAAATTAGTGAGAGGTTTTGAAATAACATGTGCCTCCTCCCCCGGTGTTAAATCAATATAATAAATTTGCCCATTACTATCATCCGATGATAAACAAACAAAATAAGTTTCCGCTAAACCACACCTTTTTAAATCATTAATCCACGGCGTCGATAACCTGGAACTAACCCCTTTATTTTTACCACTTTGTACATCATATTCGCTAACTTCCACGTGAGAATTTAATACCGCAACAACATGAATTAAATTTCTCCCATGTATAAACCACCTTCCATTATCTTTTTCAGGGTGCAAAACCCACTCCCACAATAACACCCCACTATTTAAATCCCACCCTCGCACATAATAAGTATTTTGATTTCCAGACACACTTATAACCTCTTTATCAACGTGCAAAAACTCTATTTGATTAGTATCCTCTAAGACGTTCCTCCAAAATATTTGTCCATTCTTCAAATTTAAAGCGGCTATCACGTTTTCTTCGGTACCAACAATTATTCGCTTAACAGAGTCAAAGTGTGCAAATTTAATTTTTCCTACATATGACTGTTTCCAATCGAATTTATCTATTTGGTCTTCGTATAACGATACGGTTATTTTTGAAATAGCGATTAATATCACCAAAACACGCGCGATCGACTCAATTATAGCCATTTTTGCCATATCACATTATACTTGAAAAACGAACCTAACCTCAACTGTCAATGTGTCTTTTCTTTTGGCATTCGTGGGTTATGCGGCACTTTATCGCGTAAAACTCTTCATATTTCTTCGTTTTGAATAATAATTTTCGTTGAAGTGGACCAAGTTTAGTTAAAAAACCGCTTATTTGAAGTGAAACACTAATTACTTTTGAACATTATGAAGTTAGTTGTTTAATGACGATCATAGATTTTTAGAGAATGACTTGGGATATGTGTTAATTTAAATTTATTTTTTTGTGATAAAATAAAACGAAATAATTTAATAAAATTATTAACTTAAAATTGGTTTTAATTTTTAAAAGAAATTAAAGCCCGCGTATACATTTGAATATAAATTAATAAAGTATCTAACTTCATGTCGCAGTATATCGAACATTTGATAAAATTTGAACACGTCTACAGGGTACTGGTTTTGACATATATCTTAATAAGATCTCTTTAAATTTTCATCCGCTCTCCACGAGATCGAATCCAATCAATTTTTTATGTATTAACTTTATTATTAACACGCAATGGCCAGTCCTAGAACGCGTAGAGTACTTCAAGAACTAAAGCCTAGCAATGAAAATGAGGTGAGCGATTTTTTTGTTACTTTTTGGACCTTAAAACGAATCAAAATGCTTTTACAAATAATTCTATATTAATAATTTTATCTCGTTTCAAATAAAAACCTTTATTTTAATAGAAATGTTTTGAGTGTCAAAGCCATAACCCCCAATGGGCATCTGTGACATATGGAATATGGATATGTTTGGAATGTTCGGGAAAACATCGTGGTCTCGGCGTCCACTTATCCTTTGTACGCTCCATAACGATGGATAAATGGAAAGATGTTGAACTAGAAAAGATGAAAGTCGGTGGTAACAGAAACGCTAGAATATTTTTTGAAGCACAAGCAGATTATGATGATAACATGAGTATACAACAGAAATACAATACAAAAGCAGCCGCCCTATATAGAGATAAAGTAAACAACAAAAATAGAAAGATAAAGCGCTGTAAAACAATTTCATTATAAATTATTTTTTTTTTAGATTTCAACTTTAGCTCAAGGTAAAGATTGGGATGAAAGAAAATCATCTGCGCAGAGTTATTCGGGGATGATGAGCAGTGTTAATAGCTATTCGAATAATTCTTCTTATAATAATAGTAATTCTTATCAGTCTTATCAAACGGATGGATACCAAAGCGGTGGAGGTGGAAGTGTTGGTTATCAAAATTATAATACTTCGGAGTTCAAAGATCAAAAGGAAGCATTCTTTGCTAGAGTACAAAATGAAAATGCTACTAGAAGAGAGTAAGTATATTAAAAAGAGTTTGTCAATTTATTTATGAATAGATAAAGTGTGTTGAAGTAAATAACAATTAAGTTAAGAAGTTGAAAAGAATGACAAAGGCTATTGTTCTATTATTTTACAACATTTTATTAAAAATTTGTTGGTATCACATGCAAGGCTTTATCTTAAATCAGTGGAAAGAAATTTGTTATAATAAAACAAAGTTTATTGTGAAATAATTAATAACTAACAAAATAAATTCTTTTATTAAATAACAACATAACGTAAAAAATACAAACTCTTTGTTATCACATCAAACGCATAACAAATCTAGTTTTCTTCTTTTCTTTTGAAATTCATCCAACACTTCTTTGGGCGTAATTGTTATTGAACGATAAATATGCAATAGCATCATTCCATTTAATCTATCCTCACTTATAGTATTTCTTAAATATGTTTTCAACAATTTTAGAGTTGGAAATGTTCTCTCTGGAGTAGCTGTGCTAACAACGTATAAATATGAGGAAAGATAAATGAATTACAAATTGATAATGCATTTAAAGGAGAATTGGGAAATTCTTCTGGTAAACTATTGTAAAATCTTCTACACCAAAGTTTAAATTCACCAAATGCAATAGGTTTTGAGACGTCATCTAAATCATATTTATAAAATTCTACTAACTGTTCAAATTTTAATAGTTGTCTAAGAATGGAATGAAAATTGATATTTTGTAATATTCTTTTGTGGTCTCTGTTTCAAAATTCGCTCTATTTCATTGTCTAACTAAGTACAAGTCTTGATCTTTTCAATTGTTCTCCAAATATATTCCACATCAATTGGTTTCCTTCCAGAAATATATTGTTAAAAGATGTGTCAACATTGTTTTGCAGATTTTTTTATTTCTTCTATGCAATTTGCTACAAGGGAAACTGCTTGAAGCAAGTTGGTATTAGCAAGTTGTATGCAAAAACGACTTCCATAACTAAAAGAGACAACATAAATTCGGAAGAACTTAAAGAATTTTTTAACAATGTTACCCCAGATGACGATTGCCGATCTTTCCAAGTTGATATGTCTTCTAGAGCAGACTCTGCGGACTTACAGTTTTTTCATTATAACATTGGAATCTTGTCGTTAAATCCATCGCGTGGAACACAGTTGTTTCAATTTGTCTCGTCTTGATGTGGAATTTAACTCATTTAATTTTTCGGTTAAGACAGTTTGGCGCTTTGGTATATTAAAAAAATTGTATGCATTCTCTATTATACCCATACAGTTTCTAATAAGCTGTACAGGGTGGTTCAAATTCGATGTCCGAATNACAATTAAGTTAAGAAGTTGAAAAGAATGACAAAGGCTATTGTTCTATTATTTTACAACATTTTATTAAAAATTTGTTGGTATCACATGCAAGGCTTTATCTTAAATCAGTGGAAAGAAATTTGTTATAATAAAACAAAGTTTATTGTGAAATAATAATTAATAACAAACAAAATAAATCCTTTTCTTAAATAACAACATAACGTAAAAAATACAATCTTTTTGTTATCATATCAAATGCATAAGTACCTATATATTTTTAATGATATATCTACAAAACAAAATCTAGTTTTCTTCTTTTCTTTTCAAGTTCATCCAACACTTCTTTGGGCGTAATTGTTATTGAAGGATAAATATACAATAGCGTCATTCCATTTAATATCCTCACTTATAGTATTTCTTAAATATGTTTTCAACAATTTTAGAATTGAAAATGTTCTCTCTGGAGTAGCTGTGCTTACTGGCAAGGTGCACAAAATGATCAACAACGTATAAATATGAGGAAAGATAAATGAATTACAAATTGATAATGCATTTAAAGGAGAATTGGGAAATTCTTCTGGTAAACTGTTGTAAAATCTTCTGCACCAAAGTTTAAATTCACCAGATGCAATAGGTTTTGAGACGTCATCTAAATCATATTTATAAAATTCTACTAACTGTTCAAATTTTAATAGTTGTCTAAGAATCGAATGAAAACTAATATGTTGTAATATTCTTTTGTAGTTTTTATTTCAAAATTCGCTCTATTTCATTGTCTAACTAAGTACAAGTCTTGATCTTTCCAATTGTTCTCCAAATATATTCCACATCAATTGGTTTCCTTCCAGAAATTATTGTTAAAAGATGTATCAACATTGTTTCGCAGATTTTTTAATTCTTCTATACAATTTTCTACCAGGAAAATTGAAATAATTTTGACAAGGATAATGTGTATACAAAAACGACTTCCATAACTAAAAGAGACAACATAAATTTGGAAGAACTTAAAGAATTTTTCAACAATGTTGCCCCAGATGACGATTCCCAATCTTTCCAAGTTGATATGTTTTCTAGAGCAGACTCTACGGATTCTTACAGTTCTTTTATTACAACCAGTGTTGTTAAATACCCGGGTATTTATTTTCAAGGATAAATTTCCTGGATATATACCCGGGGGTATTTACCCATGATGGGTATTTAGAGGTATTTATAAAATTTAAATTTAAACTGAGTTGATGGCAGTTTTGCAAGCACTTCAAGAATGCAGAGTCGATTATCGATACACCAAACTTGTTTACATCATCTACAAGAATGCTACAATGACGGTAAAACTGCCTAGAATTACTGATTGTGAGTAAAACAAGGCGATACAGTGTTGAACCCAAATTGTTCATCACAGTCCTGGAGAATGCGTTTAAACAACTGGATTCGACCCAAGAAGGCATAAACATTGATGGCAAATACCTAAGTAATTTATGCTACGCGGACGATATAGTTCTTATTTTGGATAGCCTTGGAGAGATGAAACTAATGGTGAACGACTTAAAGGAGGTGTGTGCAAGAGTCGGGTTACATATTAACGTAAAGAAATCAAAATTTATGATAAATCTTGTTCCCAAGTCTAACATCAACATTGGGGATAATGAGATTGAGAGGGTTGACACCTCATCTTGGCCATGAGGTTCGTGTATGGAGATAATCAAATATGTGAACTAAACAGAAGACGGATCACACTCGCATGGACAGCCTACGGGAAACTTAAAGATATCTTCAAGAGCGATATTCCTATATATTTGAAAAGAAAGGCTTTCAATTAATGCGTGTTTCCGCTTATGACGTACGGCTCCGAAACATTAACATTAACGGTAGCCACTGCCAGGAGGCTCAAAGTAACGCAAAGACTGAAATGAAGACCTATGAAGAAGAACTGGCGGTAATAATGTGGTCAACATTGTGGCAAACTTCAACAATAGAATATTCAGAATAGAATCGAATGTAACAGAATAGGGGAGGCCCATGTCCAACAATGGCTTGATGATAATAATCATAATGACTTGATCTAATCTAAATTACATCAGATTCGTCTGATGGTAATAAGTCTTAGATTGTTAACAATTCCTCGTCTTCAACGTCCATTTCATGATCTTCCTCTTCATTTTTTCGGAATTTGATATATTTTTACTTGTGTCACTTTTATACGTACTGTTTGGATATTTACCCTGGGTCGGGGTAAATACCCGGATAAATACCCATTTTATAAATACCTACCCGTCAGATATTTACCCAGCGCCCATCACTGATTACAACAATGGAATCTTGTCGTTACATCCATCGCGTGGAACACAGTTGTTTCAATTTGTCTCGTCTTGATGTGGAATTTAACTCATTTAATTTTTCGGTTAAGACAGTTGGCGCTTTGGTATATTAAAAAAATTGTATGCATTCTCTATTATACCCATACAGTTTCTAATAAGCTGTACAGGGTGGTTCAAATTCGATGTCCGAATAGGCTATCTTGGAAACTATAATAGTTAGAAAAAAAGTAGATTATATGTCATGATCTCGTTTTTCGAGAAACTGCTAATGCCGAAAACCTCAAAGCGCTGTCATCTTTTGTTTTTCCCCTAGAAGCCAAAATTGAAAATATCGTAAAACCAACAAGTGCAATTATCTTGGTTATTATTATACGTGGAGTATTATAACTAAGACATTATATAGACACTAAAAAGATATGACAATTTTCGTTTTTTTTTTAAATGGAAACAATTACTGATTACTCGATTATTAAATTCGTTATTTTTTTCTGATTACAAAAATATAGGGTTTGACAGGTCTATTTCTTATTGTTTTAGAATAAAGCTAAAAATAAACTTTTTTTTTGGTGTCGTCAAAAAAATTAAATTTACAGTTTCCTGTAAATTACAACTAAAAATTAAAAAAGCATATTTCTGATATTTGAAACAAATACATTTGTTGAACTATTTAATTTATATTTGTTTTACACAAAAGTTGGAATAGATTGCATTATTTCACATTTTTTATTAATATTGTTATTAAATGACTTAATAAATTATTGATAGATAGCGCTTATATATAGGGTGATTCAAAAAACCGCTGACAGACTTCTAGGGCAGGTAATGCATCAAAAATTAATATGAAAAGTCTTAATATACATGGGGTTGCAAATGCCTCTTTAACGAGATATAGCGGGTCAAAGTTTCTTTAAAATTAAACATCTGCAATAAAAAGCCCTTTTTTTTAAATAGTTTCACCGCCACTGCTAATTTTGTTAAACGGGCAGTATTTTCGTGTAAAGAGATCAATTATCTATCAATTGGTCTCTTACAAAACTTTGATTAAAGCACTTTCTTGTACTATCTACTCTAGAAACAGTAGTTTCTGAAGTGTCATATTACAAATCCTGGTTTTTAAGATGGATTATGAAAATTATGAAAACTTTAACATGTCAGAATGTTACATATTAGAAAATAAAGTAAATTTTATATAAATTTTTAGTAGAATAATTTTTAGTTATAGTTATCGTAATTTACAGGAAACTGTCAAATTAATTTCTTTGACGACACTAAAAAAAGTTTATTTTTAGCTTTATTCTAAAACAATAAGAAATAGTCCTATCTAACCCCATATTTTTGTAATCAGAAAAAAATAACGAATTTAATAAGCGATAATCAGTGGTTGTTTCCATTTAAAAAAACGAAAATTGTCATAATATCTCAAAATTTAAAACCAAACAATTTTTTTGACTATTTCGCATTAGCAGTTTCTCGAAAAACGAGATCATGACATATAAACTACTTTTTTTCTAACTCTTATAGTTTTCGAGATAGCCTATTCGGACATCGAATTTGAACCATCCTGTACAGTACTGGCGTCTGAAATAACCAGATTCAACGAATGGGAACCGCAGTTATATACTTAGTTGTTTTAATATAGCTTGTACTCCATTAAACTTTCCACTCATTGGTGCAGCTCCATCATACCCCTATCCACGAAAATGATTTAAATCAAGGCCATACTTTTTATATTCTTGAATTATTACATTGTTATACACTAGCACTATCACTAGAACTAACACAAGAGTTAGAATTAAAACCATTCGGGCTTACCCGTCTTGAGATACGTGCGGCTAAATCCGAATGTTTCTAGTTCTTGGTCTAGTGTTAGTTCTAGTATTGCACTAGAACTAACACAAGACTTAGAATTAGAATCATTCGGGTTTAGCCGTCTTGAGAAACGTGCGGCATATTACTTCTAGTGACATTGGTAGGTAGCGCTAGTTAGCATAAAATATCACTATGTCGCATATTTTTATTGCACTAAAACTAGAACTAACACTAGACCTAGAATTAGAAAGTATTGGGTTGGGTTGGGTTGAAGTGGGCTGAAGACGCACGGCTAAACCCAATACTTTCTAATTCTAGGTCTAGTGTTAGTTCTAGTTTTACACTAGCACTATCACTAGAACTAACACAAGACCTAGAACTAGAATCATTCGGGTTTAGCCGTCTGTTAACCCGAATGTTCTAGGTCTAGTGTTAGTTCTAGTTATAATTGTTATTTAGCGTTAGATTGTGGTATATTTTTATTGAACAAAAAGTAGAACTAACACTAGACCTAAAAACAGAAACATTTTGGGTGGTTTAGATATAAGAACATAAGAACATCACATTTTTCCAAGCAAAACTTTTCATTGGCAAAACTACCCCCTGTACTATTAAGTTATGTTGCATATTATGTGGGACAGTGCAAGTACATAGTAGTTTCATAACTATGGTTACTGCATTCATATAAGTGTGGTAATATTTGTGATTTGAAAATACAAACTATTTTAATCGAATTTCCACCACCAACTCATTTTTATATATCCAAGAACTTCAGCCAGTACCTTTACTGATATTACTTACTATTAATTTCTTTTCAAAGTTTGTGTTTTTTTAAAGACTACGCAATGTGACTATTTCTCTGTGATATGATCATCAACCCTAATTTTATTATTACATTCTTCTGATATTAATAAATTTATTTGGAAGTCTTTATATATATTTTTTTGTTTTAGTGATTTACCTCCTAGCCAAGGTGGAAAATACAGCGGTTTTGGTTATACTCGCGAAGCACCCCCCAGAAGCCAATCCCAAGAATTTTTTGATACCACAATGTCTTCTTTAGCAAACGTAATAATCATAATAATTTAATTTATCCTAATTGAATTCGAAGTTTTCTTTTATTTGTAGGGTTGGTCCTTCCTCTCGTCTTCAGCTACGAAAATCGCCAACAAAGCATCGGAAAACGCCATCAAGTATGGAGGAATTGCCACTCAGAAGGTAGCTGATATTAGTTCACATGTTTCTGAAAAGGTATATTATTTTAGTTTCACCTTGTTTTTAGTTTTATTTGGTTCGTTTCTTTCTACTATTTCGATTAATTATTATTTGCGTCTTTTTATTTCATTTTAGTTCACTTCTTTCTTTTTCTTTTTGTTTTGGTTCGATTTTATTTAGGTTAAAGAAGGTACTTTACTGGATGATGTTGGATCACAAGTATCTACTTTGGCTAATAAGGTAAATAAATGGTATATGCTTATTTATTTTTTTAATCAACTCCACTTTGCATTTTTAAGAATTTCCATAAAAATGTATTTATTTTTAATTATTTTTATTAGATGAGCGATTTAGGTAAAAAAGGCTGGAACACGGTAACCTCAACAACAAATAATCCAGGTGATTACCACTCCGGGGGTTACGGCCAAGTCGGAGGTGATAATTACCAATCTCCTGGAGAAAGATCTTCTTTAGTTAGCGGTGGGCATAGCTACAACAACGACGATTGGAGTTGTAGCAGCCAACTTGGTTCAAAGTAATTAATATTTTAATAAATAATTTTTTATGAAAATCGTTTTTTTGTAGAGCTTCCAGTCCGAAATCTCCAAATCAAAATTGGAATGGGAGCAGCTGGGGGTATCAAAACGATGTAACACCCGGATACCAATCTGAAGGTAGCTTCAACGCGTACGATTCAAAAACAACATCTCCAACAGAAGCTGTGGTAAAACGGAGTAAAGATAAAGGAGACAAAGAGAAAGATAAGAAAAAGGAGCAAAAGAAATACGATAAATGGGGCGACGATGAACTATGGGAGAGCCTCAATAATTAAAATAGTGCAATTTCGTTTTTGACTTAGCCAATAATACTTATATTGAGATTAAAAAGTTGATGTGCTACAAAAAGATAAAAATACAAAGAAAGAAACGTAATGTTATCATACAAAAGAAGGATCTTCAAACATTTCTTCTTTATTTATGTATATTTTTTTAATTAAGTATTTTAATTTTCTTTTTTGTTTTTAATCAATTTATTAACTCACTTTTTTAAATCAATTAGTTCATTTTATTAATTCATTTTAATGTACATCATATTTATGATTCAATATAATTTTAATTATTAACCTATTTAGTGGATATGAAAGTGTTTTATATCAAATATGTACCACCTGGAAGGTCTGTTCGTTATATTATAGGTAATAAAATTATATCTATTAACCAAATTATCGTTTTATTTACAAAAATTTATTTTATGAGCACTTATTTTTGAACCAGCTGTATATGGGAAAATAAAAGATGCTTTTTAAAGTATAATTTTACAAGTTTCTCTTATAAATATTTAGGTTGCTATTTTAATGTAAATAAGAAATTGATTTAGAAATAAATTAATTTTATTAATAATTTTTGACGTTTCTGGTTTAATTAATTAATTTTTTTTAGGTTGGTAATACAAATACGCATGTGTGGGGGCGATGAAGTTGAACTGTCAAACGATCCAAACACAATAATATTTTCATACGGTCCGCAGACGTAGTGGCGAGAAGCGGTGTACGGGCCCCGTGTCGATGTTCGATCGCGAATTTCGCCCCCCGAACGACGTCGTCGCCCCATCGATTGCCGCAACACGTATACAGGGCGTTACGAAATCCAGGTTAGTCCTCGTTAACCCACGAGATCCCCAATTGTACATAATCAAATAGTTTCTCAATTTGGGCCGGTTTTTTTTAACGCCTTTTATAACCTAAAAAGCGCCTCATCCTAGATAAGATATAGAGTTTTGACGGTTATGTCACAGTGGGGCTCTTTCAGTTTTCAGTTCGTATTGTTTAACAGAAACGATTTAAGCGGCGATCAGGTGGACGCGAAAGCGCTTCTCGACCGAAATAAACGTCGGGTTTAAAGTTAGAAGAGAAGAGGCGAAGAAGAGTGATAAATCGTCAGGCTTCTGATGAGCTGCTTCCCTGGGAAAGTGTGAGTTTTAGCAGAAACAAAACTGAGCACACCGTTCATTCGCGTTTTGATCGTCTCCGCGAGCGTACGCGTTACGAGAACGTTGTGTTGTTTGTGTATTCAAAAAAATTTGGATTTTTTTGGAAATTAATCACCGCACGATATGGATAAACTCGTTAATCCTTAATAATAACGTAAGTATCTAATATTTTTAAAAATAGTTTATGAGAGGTTAGATAAAAATAACATCTTACGTTTTATGTATGCGTTTTCAACAAAGAATATAAACATTTTCATTACATAAATCTTTGATGTGGTACAATATTTAAACAGTTTATTATCGAATTAATTCAAATCAATTAATTGAGTGGAGTAATTTGTTTTTGTGGTTGTTTAATGAGGTTTTAATCAGCGACCACTAATTTTCTTTTTCAGTAATGACCAAATCCGTTTTGTCGAAATTTATTACGGAGCATTTATGGAATTATTGCTCAATTTTTAAGAATTAAATTTAGAAAATTCGTTCTGTCAACGTCCTGTAAAGTTTATCTACGACCGAAACGATACGCGTCGCTTCCAAATATCGGCGTCGACGGCGTCGTTCTCGAATTACTCAACGATTGCGAACGGTTTCCGTCAACAAATTTCGATTTATTAATAAATACACGCGAAAGATTAATAAATCCGTTGATGGATTAAAAAGAAATCACTAATTTTTATATTAATTAAAATCAAGACTCGTGTAAGTATAATTATTGTTTATCTGTTATCAATTGAATCAACACTATCTTATTTTATTTTATTTTAAAAACTAATTTCACAACAACCTTTTTAAACTTTACTATAAAATAATTGATATAAATAATCAGCCATGGGGAATAAAATTATCGAGCGATGCAACTCATCTCAATCGCATTTATTCTGAATATTCCCGTCTCGTCTTTTATCAGTAAATACGCGAGGGGGACGAGATAAAAGCCGGGAGCGTGGGAGTAGTAAAACGGAAAGGGCAGCGTCCGAGGGGGGAAACCGGGAAGGGCCATGGGGAGAGTTGAATTAGTGCCAAAACGGGATGACGGGAGAGAAAATGCCGGTGAGTCACCACGCCCACTGAAGCGATCGAAACGTCCCGCCAACGAGAAGATCCAGAGAATTCAATGACCCACCTCAATAAAACAGGCGTGAACTATTGTTATGTTTATTTATTGTTGTTGTTTGTGTTTGTAAACATTGCTAAACATTCTGAAAAACTTGTTTCATATTTCACGTCAGATGAAAAATCTTCATATAATTTATTGATTGTATAAATGAAATTGGTCGATAAATGGAATTAGCTTTAATGAAACACTCAATTTCTAGTCATTTACATAATAGTCTACATTGTAACCTACCCTAATCTCATGTAGAACATTTACTACATTCGTTATGATTGTGGATGTACTAACTTTTAAGTCATTTTAGTGAATAAATAGAAACATCGGTTAATTGTTTGTATGCGACAAGCTCAAGCTAATTGCATCAACAAGTTGTAGCAAACTAGTAATAGAAGTATTGGCTAAGCTAAAATCACCAACAATTATTAATATAGACATCAAGATTCTAGTTATAAGAAGTTGCAATCAGCACAGAGACACAAAAAAATGCAGAATATCATAAAAGATAAGGGGATAGATAAACACAGGTGCGAAACTGGCAATAAATTACTCCAATTACCGATAAAATCAACTATTCCGGGAATTTCATGTAACTCGCAATATATGAATGCAGTAACCATAGTTACGAAATTACTATGCACTTGCACTGTCCCACATAAAATGCAACATAGCTTAATAGTACAGGCATTAGGTAGTTTTGAAAAGGTGACTTCTTTATGATAACTCTGAGTTTCCGTCTTAAGAGACGCACGGCTAAACCCGAATGTTTCTAGTTCTAGGTGTAGTGTTAGTTCTAGTTTTAATTGTTACGCGGCGCTAGACCAAGAACTAAAATCATTCGGGTTTAGCCGTCTTAAGAGACGTCTGACTAAACCCAAAATAGCACTGTTATTATGTAGAACTAACACTATACCTAGAACTAGAATCATTTGGGTTTAGCTGAACGTCTCTAAAGACGGCTAAACCCGAATGAATTCTATACCATTTCAAGTTCAAATTGGCACTAATCAACCTCAAAATGGCATTAAGCAAATCCAATCTGACAACTGTCATAATCAAATTGACATTAATCAAAATCAAAATGACATTAATCAATTCCAAATTGTCACTGTTAACAACCTGTCCACAAAATGCCTTATGTTAAGAAAAAGGAAGCAGCAAACTTATTTTCTAAATTAATCTTCATGTTTATCTTGGTTTCAATCTTACTTTTTCTGTCGTTCCTTGTGTGTGCGTGCTGATTCTGCGCTCTCGTCTGCTTGTGATATTAAATGTGGTGTACCCCAGGGTAGTGTGTTGTCACCCACTGTATTTCTTGTAATTATCATGTGTATGCTGATGACCTCCAAATTTACACTACGACAACTATTGATGATTTTCCAATTGCAATTGCACGTCTTAATCATGACCTTTCCAATATTTTGGATTGGTCCAAACGTTATGGCCTTAAATTAAATATTGCTAAAACTCAAACAATTGCGTTTGGCAGTCGACCCTTACTGGCAAAGCTGAATGATTTTTCATCCATTCACTTAATGCTTGACGGAGACATTATTCAGCTGTCAGACACGGTTAGAAACCTTGGGGTGGTTATGGATTCTACAATGTCCTGGAAACCTCAAATTCAATCCGTCTGCAGAAAGGTCTATCATTGTTTCCACTCACTGAAAAGTCTCCGTTGCTTCCTTCCTCCCATGATCCGTCGTAATCTTTGTTTTTCCCCCATATTGATTATGCTGACACGGCATATCCTGATCTTTCGGTAACACTACGAAACAAACTGCAAAGACTTCAAAACAACTGCATACGGTATATCTTTGATCTCGAGAGATCTCAACACATAACCCCATACCGTAATTATTTGCAGATATTAAGCTGTCAGAACCGTAGATCGTTTCGTATATTAACTATGTTATATACTGTTCTTCACAATCAAACCCCGAGGTATCTGTATTGTATATTTCAACGCTTGTCGTGGCATGGTTTACCCACTATATTTCAGTTAGATTCTGTGCTTATGTTCCCGACCCATAGTACCGAGATTTACCATAAATCGTTTGCTGTGCAGGCAATAACCCTTTGGAATAGTCTGCCTACTGGGATCCACCTAAAACGTCATTTATTGGCTCTCCAAGTATCTTCCTGAGAACATTTTTTTCTCCCTTTTCTTCTCTTCTTCTACTTTTCTTCTCTTCTTCTTTTATTCCAGCAACTATCATTATGCACCGTTTTTAGTGACCATAAGTTTAGCATAGCAGCTTGCCGTTTATTCATAGTTTTTCTTATATAACTTAGTATACAGCTGATGGATTGGGTTGTTTGGAAGATATCGCTTACGCGATAAATCGACCCTTTTGCCCGTATTTATGCATTAAGTTAAATGTATACATTTTCTTTAATTTGTATTTTTTGTTTCTTATTATGGCAATAAATTTATTTATTATTATTATACGCCAAGTTTGTGCCGTTGACAATACGAATTGCGCCTGGCGCAATTTAGCTGAAATTCATAGTGTTACAAAAAAAAACAGTTCGGATGGGTAAAAAATCAAGAAGACGAAAAAGCCATGAGAAAAGAAACGTAAAATAAAAATTACACATGAATATCACCGTTTCTTTAAACTTAAAGTTGAAGAAAATCCGAGGTCGTTCAAAAATAGGAAGTCGTAGTACTTTCATTGCTACTGGTAGCAGAGAAGCAAATACACATCTTCTCGGATGTATCAGTAACTTGGAATTGATTTATCATGAATAAGTTTGTTAGGCAATGCTTAAGGAGAGTTCAAGATAGCTAATGTTCAGTGGCTTTAGTCATTGATGCTCCTTGTCATTGTGGTGTTGAACAAGAATTTCCTCATCATAAACTTGTAAGGCTAACTCCTTACAGTCCATTGCTAAACCCACATGAACAGGCTTGGTTAATTTTGAAAGTACGTGTATAGGCGGACTTGGCAAATGCAATTACAAATATTTTGGAGGAAAATCGCCGAGAAAATTTGTCTCAGAGTACAGAATTCGAAAATATAATTAGGAACTATATTCCAAAAATCAATGTAACTAACTGTAACAGGTTTATAGCCGGAATTCAAAAACACATCACCTCTATTTTAAACATGGAAGATGTCACCTTGCCAAGTATAAAATTGTGTATTTAAAATGTTAATAATGAATTAAAGATTGATTTGTTAAATTATTGAATGCTAATTTGATGTTGATTAATGTCATTTTGATTTTGATTAATGCCAATTTGAATTTGACAGTTTCCAAATTGGTTTTGTTAAATGCCATTTTAAATTTGATTAGTGCCAATTTGAACTTGAAAAGGTATAGTTCTAGGTGTAGTATTAGTTCTAGTTTTACACTTGCACTGTTACTAGAACTAACATTAGACCTAGAACTAGAAACATTTTGGTTTTCGTCATACGTCTCTTAAGACGGCCCAAACCCGAATGATTTTAGTTCATGGTCTAGCGCCGCGTAATAATTAAAACTAGAACTAGCACTAGACCTAGAACTAGAAAGTTTCAGGTTTAGGTGTTAGTTTTAGTTTTACACCATCACTATCACTAGAACTAACACAAGACCTAGAATCATTCGGGTTTAGCAGTCTTGAGAAATGTGCGGCTATACCAGAATGTTTATAGGTCTAATGTTAGTTTTAGTAACAGTGCAAGTGTAAAACTAGAACTAATACTATACCTACAACTAGAATCATTCGGGTTTAGCTGTCTTTAGTGTGGCTAAACTCAAATAATTATGGTTGTAGGCAGAGCTGGGACAACTACTTGAAAAAGTAGTGGAGTATAACTACTAACTACTTTCACCAGACTACTTTTAAAATATGGTACTTAGGCTTACTACCATCTTCTGGTTAAGCTATCTAAGAGATTATTACCACGGTTACGGCTATTTGACGCGCTCTGATTGGCTAGTAGATGGGTTTATCTATAAGATAAATTTTACTAAAAAATGGTAGTAATGGACCTAAGATTACTAACTACCAAGTAGTTAGTAGTTAGACCTAGAACTGGAATCATTCG